TGTTCTAGATGAGGCTCCTCGATACGAGCGCGACAACCGAAGCGCCTCGCCTCGACCTCGTGACGACAATGAAGGCGGCCGCCGTCGCTCCGCCTCGCCCGGTGGTCATGGCGACAGGTTCGTTTCCATGCCTATGCTTACGGCCGACAATGAATACTAACTTACGTTCATTACAGCAATATGAAGGACGTATCTGCTCCTCGTGATGACGACGACGGTGCTATTAACCCTGGCTCTAACCTTTTCGTTACCGGCATCCACCCCAAGCTATCCGAGGCTGAAGTCTCCAAGATGTTCGAGAAGTATGGCGACGTTGAAAAATGCCAGATTATGCGTGACCCCCACACAAAGGAGTCTCGTGGATTTGGCTTTGTCAAGATGGTCACATCTGATCAGGCCGAAGCCGCTAAGGAGGGCCTCCAGGGCGAGCAGATCGAGGGTCGTACCTTGAGCATCGAGAAGGCACGCAGAGCCCGTCCTCGTACCCCGACTCCCGGCAAGTACTTTGGACCGCCCAAGCGAGGTTAGTAATTCCAAATCGATCAGCTTCGTAATTTATTAATACGCAGACAGAGCCCCGCGCTGGAGGAGGACGTTACGAAGATCGCCGACGTGGCGGTTATGGCGGCGGCGGCGGCGGCGGCGGTGGCTACGGCCGTGATGACTCCTACCGCTACCGTGGCTACGAACGCAACTACGAGCGAAGATACGAAGAGCGTGGAGGCGGCTACGGCGGAAGCAGTGGCGGTGGTGGCGGCGGTGGTCGCGACTACGACCGCAGCTACCGTGACGAACGCCGCTACGATGACCGAGGTGGTGGTTATGGCGGTCGCGACTACGACCGAGGCTACGAACGCCGCGACCGTGAAGAGGGCTATGGCCGAGACCGCTACGCTGGAGGTGGCCGCGAGGACCGTGACCGCTACCCTCCCCGTGGAGGCCCCGGTGGCTCTGGCTACGAGCGTGGTGGTGATCGATACGAGCGTGGAGGTGACCGAGACGCTGCGAGAAGCCGTGACCCAGCTGCCGGTGCTGCAGGTGCTGGCTACAGCGAGTCTGCCTCTCGATCCGAGACGCGCGACGCCTATGGAGGTTCGGGCTACTACTGAGTGCTCCCTACTATGTACCCGCTAATCCTCCTAGGCGCCCCCGACCGAAGCATCCAGTAAATGCATCGACGACGTTTACCACGACCTGACTGATTTATCTGTCACCGCGGTCTTTTCTCCTTTCCTCTACTAACACACCTGCTTTACTTGCTCAACTTCCTCTGTTAATTGTTATTCCTTCGTTGATTTCTTTTATGTTCATGGACTACAGCAGACTGAAATCAGGCTCTGCTTACACAGGAGTTCAGTGTGATTTGCGACAGTAATGGGATTGGAATCAAAAATGGGTACTCGGCCTGCGTCACTTGAGTTTTCTTATTGCTGGTCGGTTTTGCGACAAGGTCACAGATGGACCAAATATGGCAGCTTCCGGATCTTTGCAAATCAAACACTTCATCAGTCATCCATCGCGTCTTCGACGACTTTATGATAGCTTTTGGCAGCACAACATCAACCAGATGTCGACTCCGGCCTAATCGGTGAATCCACATGGACTATTAAACTCAACCTCGAATGCGACCTCGCGACTCAACTGCCTGTGCTGTCCTCGTATCACATAATGCTATGGGGGTACACGATACGATGGTTTTAGGCCCTGCTTGATGCAAGCATCGGCTCTGGCTATTGCCTGACTGACATTACTTTTTGATCCAGAAACATGTGTAAATGTTTCCCTCTACGCCAACCACCCAACACAACTGTAAACAACTTGACGCCCACAACTGCAAATCAGATAAAATCACGGTCGTTGAGCTTGCAAATGGGGCTATGATAATACGCGCTTCCAATTGCAGAATTTGCAAAACACACAGCATTCAGATATGTCGCCAGAATCAACCTTGCCAAGCTGGGCCATGTCATCAAATAACATCGGTCTCGCCTATTGAACAAAAACTACTTCAGAGTTTTAAAACCTTGCTTTTTATAATGATAAGGGCTGTAAGTTGAGATCTTGCTGACTGACCTGCAGGGTGATTCCTTTGGCCCTCCCTGAACAACATGCACTTGGCACCCAGGAAAATGTCTGAGGTTATTAGCACTAACTGTTTCAGCGTGCTGGGAACTGAGGCTTGATCGAAAACCACACTCTTCGTATGCGATGGACGAAATGGAGTTGTACTGCTCCGGCCTCTAGCGTAATTGCTTATGGCCTTTGGGGTTGACTCATGAAGAACGTAGATAGATAGCATGAAGCATCAAGTGATGCCACCACCACTTGGTAGATCAGATGCCATGCATGCCGAACCAGGAGAGTGAGACATTGGCTGCGGCACATGCTACTCTTGGGGGAATTATTCGCACTGTCTTGTACACTTTCCGTAATATGTATTTAAATTAATGAATGATCTCATTACCTATGTCTAATTTTCTACATGTATTAATGTATCTGATCATGTCTTATCTCGGCGTTAGTTACGGGTTTATCAAGCATCTGGGAGTATTGTAATATAATGATAGCTTAAAACTAAGAACTCTCTACTTCTTCAGTTTATCAGCTGGGCATTATAGTTAGCCGCCAGGCGCATAAGAGACGAAATCAACGTGAGTTTATTCCATTTAGACTGTACTCCTTGTGCTGTTTATTTTTATACTCTAAAAGCGAGAGGCCAGCTTTCCTGTACCCATTAGCCGGGGCTACAGGTCATTAGCTGCCTGGGTACCTGCAGCCGGCTTGCCTCCTTGGCCATGGGTCTGCAGTTAGCTAATCGCCGGTTTAGGATTTTTCTAGTATGATTGACATGAGGCTCAGAATAGAGAGGGCGAGGGACTTTGGAAATCGTAAAAAACTACCAAAAAGTAGGGTGATAGATGACTCACCCACTTAACGGTACTATGCGCATTAGTATGTACTTAATCATAGAGTTTAATGGTTACTGTGTTGACAGCTAGGTGAGGCTTGTCGTCTTAGTATTTCTTAGGTTGTGCAGAAGGGAGAAGTGGGCTGCTGAGAAGTGCTTTTGTATTGTATGAGAAAAATGTTATTTCTCAAGCCTTGCTTTTGGTAACTTGAAGCTTCAGAAATCGTGTAGAACCAACAAGTAGTACAGCCATAGGCACCCCGCCTGCCTAGCTTGGTACCTAGTGTCTTGAGTTATAAAAAGTGGGACCCAAAGAGGCAAACTCACATAGTATTCCACTGCGAGAGAACTGCTTCTTCCTCCTTCAATTTAAAGCAAGTCAGTCAATCAATCAATCAACAATGGATCTTGCGATCACCCTGGTCAAGTCGGTCATGCGGGCCTTCTATCAAACCCGCGAAATACTCGTTATCGACGCGCTTATTCTCCATGAAGCTCTTCGAGACGATGATTTGGCATACCTGATGTCCATTAACACAAAGGATCTCCATAAGATTTGCGGTAAACTGCGCGAGGATAGATTCCTAGTTGTGCACACGCGATCCGAATTGCGAGAAGGCAACCCTAGACCGAGCAATCGAACTTGGTACTATATCGATTACCGCAGTACAATAGACGCAATCAAATGGCGTGTCTACAATATCGACAAAGAAGTGCAGGGAACCACACAAGTGGCGAGCGAGAAGAAAGAATACTTTTGTTCCCATTGCAAAGCAGAGTGGACGGCCATGGAGGTTTTGGACAACGCCGGCCCACAGGGCTTCTTATGCCACCGCTGTTCTCATGTTCTCACCTTCGAAGCCGATCGAACATCCACTGGCCATGAGCAGTCTACGCGACTCAACGACCAATTTAAATTCATAAGCGAACTTCTACCCAAAATCGATGCGGTACATATCAACGAGTGCGACTTCGATCGTGCGCTTGCCAAGGCTCGCCCGGTCAAGCGTGACGAGACACACCAACGAGCTCAAACAATTGCAGCAGACGTCGGCGCGAACCGACCAATGGCAGTCAAGGGCCTGACGAACACAGGGCCGCAATCTATTGCAGTCAACATCTCAACATCCGATGGCCTCACAGAAGCCGAGAAAGCAGCAGAGCAGGCGCGAAAAGAACAAATCGCGAAACAAAATGCGCTGCCATCTTGGATGTCCAATAGCACAGTTACTGGCGAATCTTTCTCAGCAAGCGCTGCTCCTGGTACCACCCCAGCTACTATTAAGAAAGAGGCCGGTAAAGATTCAGCATCAGCTGCACCGGCTGCGGCCAACGCCCAAATAGACGACATATTTGAAATGATCAAAGCGGAACAAGCGGCCAAACAAGCCAGGGAAGAGTCAGAGGAAGACGAAGATGATGAAGACGAAGATGAGTTCGAGGACGTCCCTGCCACGGGAAATGCGCCGAGCCAAGGCGCACCGGCGATCAAACGGGAATCGCCTGCAAGCACAGAAGATCGACAGGCCAAGCGAGTGAAGATCGAGCCCGAAGTGAAGAAGGAAGAAGACGATGAAGAGGACAGCGAGGAAGAAATCGAGTTTGAAGACGTTTAGGATTGAGAGGCGAAGTTTGAAGACCTCCGTAACTACAGCGATACCCCAAAATAGACCGAATATAATATTTAATAAAGGAAATGCGACTAGACCATTGTCTTTAAATGTTTGTTACAATGGATGGGGCTGTTACAAACATTGGGAGTGGCTTGCACTGCCCATAACAAACATATTCCAGGTCGGCCAGGAAGTACTCTACACTACCTACACACACGGCATAATTCGTCCATCTATACGTCATTCGCTGCTTTCAACACTTCTTTTACTACCTACTGACTGTAAGGAGTCCTAGTAAAACGACTACTCGACCTATTATTTCGATAAACAGGTACTCCGGCACACTTCATTTGTTGCATTATTCAGCGGCTCATGTAATTATGCTACACACGTCAACTGCTACAGTTCCTTGTTGCTGCGAATAGTCGGAAGAACCCCAGCTACACCGTGTATCACTCACTGACTTCTGAGCTGATGTGATGAATCTCACCGACCTACCGCGAATCTTCCTGCTGTCCACCAAACTAGATCCTGAAGAACTTCACCAACTCGAAGAACGAATTCCGACATTGACATATGACATCAACGAGGCCGAGATCGTGATTGGGAAGATTTCGCAGCCAAGTCGCGCCGAGTTTGAACTGAGAAGAGCAAAACTCAACTTCGTATCTTTAGGACAAGCGCATATTAGCAGAGATGAGCCTTCAATTACGGATGTGACGAAAGGTTCTGATGGTGGCCCTGATCCTAAGCGGAGAAGAGTGACAGGGAATGCTGCGGGCAGACATGACATAGTCAAGGTTGCCAAGTTGGCATGGCTCCTGGACTCGTGGGAAAGGAAAAAACTACTGCCTATAGACCAATACTTGGTTTGCCAGGTCAGTAGGGCATCAGCGCGCGAGGCAACACCTGAATCCGTCCCTGTACTCGGATCTGAATCTGAACACACATTGCCAGCTGGTTCTACTTCTCCAGCAACCAGTATTTTAGAACGTGCTCTTGCTGAACAGAAAGCTCAACCTACAAATACTTCACCAAAAAACCGTAATAAACGGCGCCACGATGCCTCGACAACGTTGTCGCAAAACACGCCGAGCTTGCTTCACCAAACAACATCGGAACACGATATCGTCTTACCTATGATGCCGGATTTCTTGAGAACGATATATTCCTGCGAGCGGCCTACATACAAGGTTCCACCAAATGAAACCTTTGTCAAGCTTCTGACAGAAATAAGAACGATTCGCCAACTTCGAGAGGATGATGTTGGCGTGAGGGCTTACTCTACATCGATTGCTTCAGTAGCATCCTACCCATACCCGCTAAAGAACCCCCAAGGTAAAGGCGTCCATCATTGTTCAAATTATGAAGCTGAGCATTTCTTGTAGAAGTCGCGCGGCTGCCAGGATGCGGCAATAGGATTGCGGAACTCTGGCATCACTGGAAGGAGACAGGAGAGTCGGCAGAAGTACGCGAAGCCAACGCAGACCCCAAGATCTCTGTTCTCAAGGTCTTCTACGACATATGGGGAGTGGGAGCGGCCACTGCTCGCGAGTTCTACCAAAAAGGTGAGGCTCCAAATATGTTCACAAATTTTTATGTATACTGACGAGTTGCAGGATGGCGAGATCTGGATGATCTGGTCGAATTTGGATGGAACACCCTGAGTCGCTCACAGCAGATTGGTGTAAAATATTACAATGAATTCCTGCTGGGTATTCCTCAAGACGAGGTTGTCTCTATCGGCGCTACCATTCTGAAGAATGCGCGCATGATTGACCCAGGATTCGAGATGGTTATTGTTGGAGGTCACAGACGAGGGAAGCAGCAATCGGGCGATGTTGACGTTGTCTTGAGCCACCGAGACGAGAGCAAGACACTCGGCGTAATATCGAAGATTGTCGTGATCCTTGAACAGGCCCATCTGGTCACGCATACACTTGTACTGTCAACCCACAACAGTGAGCGAGGACAGCGCCCTGTATCGTGGAAGGGACAGACCTCGAGCAGCTCGGGTTTCGACACACTCGATAAGGCACTGGTGGTTTGGAAAGACCCAAATCAAGAAGATGCACCGCATCGGCGAGTGGACATCATCATCAGTCCGTGGAAAACAGTTGGTTGCGCAGTGCTGGGCTGGAGCGGCGGAACGACATTCCAGAGGGATCTTCGACAATACTGCAAGTATGTCAAGGGATACAAATTCGACAGTAGTGGAATCCGACGTAGGGCTGACGGCAGATGGGTGGACCTTGAGGGCACCTCAGCCGACAATCCGGCCCCCGATATGGAGACAGCAGAACGGAGGGTTTTTGGAGGACTTGGTCTGCCGTGGCGGCCACCAGAAGCAAGATGTACTGGTTGAGTTTAGACAAGCACAGCACAGTTGGATGGAACAGCTAGCATGATCTGATTCATGCGTAATGGTACATTCCATGAGGTTCAATTGTGGATACAAGCATATGATTAGCTTGCGGAGTTGTGTTGTACCTGCATTGGACTGCGGAGTTTTGACTACTGTGCAACGACCGACTTACTTAGCACGCAAAAAGGATACAAAACATTTGCGGATTTTGCTGTGATTCGGAGACTAGTTGGATTCTATCTCCCCGACGGGACTAGGTTGTCGCTCCTGATCTTCAATCTATCCGTGGTCCGAAAACTCGCTCTCGGAAAGATCATGACAACCGTCGGCTCGTCGGGCGAAGAGATCAGGTTTGAATAATACAACTATTACCTGGTCAGATATCACCAGGCAAGAACACTGATGAGTACCTAAAAAATAGAGTAGCCTACAATACTATTATTGATTACCAATTAAACCCTCCGCCTATGCTTGGGCCACGCAAGAGTAATAGTCGGACTGTCGGTGGATCGTTGGTCCATTGTGGAGTTAGCTCTTCGGGAATCCTTGGGCCCGCTCCGTCGTTTCAGTGCCATACGTAGATATGTAGTAGACTGTTCATTATTTAAGAGCCAACTGGAGCCAACGATACATTGACACTATCACTATATCAATTGACCTCGCCTCATCTCTCCCAACCCAACTCACCGCCACCATGTCTCTCGTCCTTGAGCTCCCCGCTGAATACGGGTAAGGAATAAAGACTCATCAACGTCACTGATAAACTAACTCAACTGCCCGCCCAGCTACGTTCTTGTTGCCGCTACATCCACCTTCTTCATCAACACCCTCCACGTTGTCCTCACCAGCAAGGCCCGCAAGCGAAGTGGTCTCAAGTACCCTATCCCCTACGCTTCCAACGACCTCGCTGAGAAGGACGCCGAGGCCTACAAGTTCAACTGCGGTATGCCTATTTGTAGACTCTGCCATAACAGTTCCTTTAACTAACTTCCTGAGCAGCCCAGCGTTCGCACGCCAACTTCACAGAGAACCAGATCTCCTTCTTGGGTGCTCTCCTGATCTCTGGTCTGCGCTACCCCGTTGCCTCTGCTGTCCTCGGTGCTGGCTGGGCCGCTTCTCGTGTCTTCTACGCCATTGGTTATTCTGCTGGCGGTCCCCAGGGACGCATGGGGTAAGTGAAGACCCTCTCGACTAAATCAACATTTGTACTGACTTGATTGTAGTGGTTCTATTGGCTCTACCCTTTGCGATGTGTCGCTGAAGTTCATGGCCGCCTACACCTCTATCATGTATGCTATGGGTAACTGAGTTGACGTACCACAATTGAATATAATATTGGTTCCCACTTGTTTACAGTTAAACCGTTCATGATTACTCCGTTGTGTCCATAACATGCTTTTGACCATGACCATAACCTTCATAATACGCCCGCATTCCAATCCTTCGCCAAGTCATTCTGACCAACCTGTTCAAAGTTCATAATTCCAATCGTTATTATCATGTACTGGTTGACTATCCAATGTACTTTGTACATGTTCCCCTTCCCTTCATTTTCTCATTCTCCTCCTTCTGAGTTCTTGGTTCATTGCCGTGTCATCCTCAGCGGCTTGAACAGGTTGTTGTTGATTTATCTTGAAATCGTCGTCCTTTCTAGCCTCGGGGAACCATTCAATACCATTGTTACCCAAGAGGTAGTCACCGTAATACTTCATCGCGTTGAAGATTTCTTCACCAGTTGGGACAATGTGCTCTTTGGGGAGCAAAAATCCGTAGCTGCCAGTATCTCGAAGCTTGATTTGGTAGCTGTAGTGAGCTCGCATCTCATGATAGAACCAGTCAACTGCCGATCCACCACCAGATTCGATTCGAGACCAATATCGACCACCACTGAATTCGCGTGCGGATACGGCACCCTCACAAGCTGATGATACCGTATAACTTTCTCCGTTCGATAGCCGTATCGATTTCGCAATACCTGCAGCGAGCTCTTCCAAGTTCTCCAAGTTGGGCGGATCCAAGGAGCAGGTGAAGGAATAAGGGTAGAGAATTTGCTGGGAATATGAATGAAGATCAACCAAACCAACAAATCGAACATTGTTGTTCCAGGTCTGATTACGTGCCCAGTCGGCTATCTGAACCGCCTCGACGGCCTGGAATGGCTTCTCTCCTCCATAACTCTCAGAGCACGGATCTCGCTGAACCCGGGAGCCGTCCCATTCGTACCCGTAAGCACGGTCAAGATCTAGCCCGCGGCAGAATTGGAGGTTGGTTTGTTGCCGAGTCTTGCGCCATAGTCGATCAACATGCCAAGTGTACTCGAAACCATCAGGGTTGGCAACTGGGAGGAAGATCAGGTCGAAATCGTCTAGCAACTTTGTAATCATCCGTTCCTTGCCGTAGCTGGTGATAAAAGACCATGCCAGATAGTTGACGGTGCTAGTAGATATCCACTCTCGGGCGTGGGAGCCGCCCATGATCATAATAGTTTTTCGTCGAGGCGCATCCGGGACGGTATGAGAAATCCCCACACGCAAAGCAGGAATATCGCGGCCTTCGTATGACTTTCCGACGTTGATATATTTGACATAGGAAGGAAACATGGCTTCGAGCAGTCGCATCCAGCGCATGATTACTGGTAGGGATTGGTAGTCTTGGAAAAAGAGGTTGTCTCCAGGCGAAGAAGCGATTTTGACCACTGGAGCAAACGTTTTCGGATCTGTATACGCGGGATTTCCTCCGGTCGGTAGTGAGTTATAGACAGCCGTAGCCAAGTCCGGGATTAAAATCGAGTGCGATGTATGCAGCGTCTTGGGTAGCAGACTGAGCAGAGGCCGAACCTCGTCAGCATGCAGTCGGATGTCTACATAGTCATCGGTGAAAGCCCAAACATCGAGGAACAGACGTGCGGCGGCATCGGCGAGGGCGCCTTCCTCGTGGGAATGTGTGACATTGAAACGAAGGACGAGTTGTTTGATGTATTGCGCGCGTAACTGATTGGGAACGGGTGGCGGGGTTGCGTCTTGGTTTGGCTTGCGTCCAAATATGGACTCGATAGCTTTGTCGCGGAGTTTAGTGAGATAGGGGAAGAGTCTTGTGTTGGTATTGGGTGATTCTTGGATGTCGCGCTGTGGATTGATACCAACAGCGTTGGCGTTGACGTTGATATTAGAGTTGGAGGCCTGCAACAGCAGCAGACTCGCTGTCAGCAATTGCAGCTTCATCGTGGAAACCTGCAACGAATACGAAGTTGAGGTGACCGATAAAAGCTGATTGACTGCAGCATGCGATGCAAAGTCTCGCTTTAATGATGCGGTTTGCAGGCAGGTCGTTTGCAAGATAGTATGATGTAGTGTGAATATTAGAGATAAAGAAAGTGACAAATGAGGGATGGCAAGTCAATAAACTGGGGACCACCAGTTGGGCTGATGTGGGTCATGGTTCCTTTTACGGACGGCATGGATGTAGAGCTGTATTGCATTTGGGTTAGTCGTTTTGACTGTTATCCAATCTAACATATGCAAAGGAATAGGTTCTGAGTTGAAAAAGTTACAGAGTATATATGAGCTGGAGTTTTCCAGATTCAAGACACAAGCGGGTGCAACACACTACAGCATTCTACTCGGGCTTACATAAACAGTGAAGCATAACTAGGTAGGTCAGATCACTGGATATGAGCTGTTCACCATTAGAGCTTTGATATCCACGAGGCTAATCGATACATATACTCGAGGGATGCGTATTCTAGTATTGTACTTTAAAGTAATATCGAACAAGGCGGACAATTCAGCATATTGACACAACCCCCCTTTTTCGCTAATATTGAAACGAAACGAAGATCCTAGTACATAATTAGACAGAGCTCATGATGACAGGAAGCTTAGCCATCACCCATGAGGCGGATACTCAGTTACTTCTACGAGGTACTTATTGGGCACCGTAATAGTACTAAGGCAATTTACCTATGAATGCGAGGCGTGAGATTTGGACTGCCTGCCTGTGCTTTTCCTCCAATAGACCTCCACCGTAAAGCGACGAAAGGCATTTCTTTTTATCACTGTTCTTTTTCTGTCGCAACATCCACCACACGAGAGCCCAATTTGCTACGGATACGTATGTCTCGTACTTTTGCATCGTATCCTTGATGCCTAACCTGTAATTTCGGTTCTGTTGCAGTCAATAACCTCGAGCAACTCGACCCTTTCCGCCTCTTGCACCAGCCACATACATTGACACCCTCATAGGTAGAGGTAATTAGTAGTTAGTGCATGAAAGCTCTCCCCTTCCAGCAGCCCGCAGAGCTTCTAGGTCGCCCGCCCCTGATCCTAGCCACGCGCCTAGGTACCTCAGTAGTGGGCCCCCCCCCCTACACTGTCGGGTCAACTGTGCATTCGTAGTCTGACGGCCCTGGTCCAGTCCAGAGCCTAGACGCTGCGCTGCGCTCTGCTCTGCTGTGCTGGACCAATTGAGGCTGCAACGCCAGCCCCTGGCCCTGTGGAAGCTCGGAAAGTGACTACTCCATCAGCACCAAACTTGACAAAAACGTATATCGACCATCACTCAAGCCTTGCGATCCAGTTTTCACGCGACCTTCGTCCTCGTCTTACTCTCATTATCGAAATCGACGCCTGCAGTTGTATCAATGAACATCACAGCAGCTGTGTACCAGTCTTCTGCTTGGTAGGCCATTAGATGCCTGCCGCCTTCTGCTTCTACACCTTCTCATCGACATCCCCTGGCCTCCTCAACAACGCCTAGGCTGGCCGCGTATCATGATCAGTCGCTGCCATGGCTTTCCTTCGCCGCCGAGGCAACAACAATATGTCTAGTGAGACTGATGTGCGCCGACACACATTCTTTGAATCCAGCGCATCCGGCGACATTGCTCCTGCGCTTTCCTCTCAGCCCTTTCAGAACAACCACGAAGACGCTGGCGAGTTTTCCCACTCCCCGTCATGCCACGATCTACCTCGCGACCCTACCGCTAGCCGTACTGAAGACCCTCGCGAGAGTCATACTGAAAGTCGCCCTGATATTGAAGGACAAGGAGAGAACCGTCCGGATACCCCTCCCATACAAGATGAAAACAGCAAGCATCATCGCTTTTCCGTCTTACGCTTTCGAAACGCGAGTGATTCCCAACTATCCCTCCGAGTCAAACAGCAGTCTGAACAAACACCTCCCGTGCCCCGACGTAAATCATCCTACATGCTCTTCGTAGCAAGAATATAGCCCGCTAACCAGTACCAATTCAGCTCCCGAAATTATCACCACCGCCCCTACGAATGAATTCACCGGTCCAAAGAAAAAGTCATCTAGGATAAGCTTGGCTGCCAGGTTTCGCCGCTCAACAGATATACCTCGTGAGGACAATCATTCCAATAATAACTTCGAGCGTCAAAAAACACTTCGGAAATCCTTTACTGACGACAGGCGACGGCCTGCGCTTGAGACTTTGGACGAGCCAGAGTCTCCACGACCATCTACAACGGCCACAACAAGTAGTCCTAATGGAACTATTTTGACACCCCCAAATCGACCGTCCGAGTCATCAAGATCCGATGCCAGCTCCAACGATCGCATATCTCACCAGAGTTCGTCTTTCCAAAGCCCGGAAACAACACCCAAGAAATCTGGACCATTTTTTAGATTACGGAGACATAAGAAAGCCCCGGAACCCTTGTTCCCGTTTGCGCATCTTCAACAGCAAGGAAAGACACAGCCTGGTATATCGTCTACTTCGTCTCTTGGTATCTCGACAACTCCACGTCCAGCATCAGCCCAAAGTAGTAGAACAGCTAGTGGGAAGACTGCAAAAGGCACACCGGACTTACAAACAGCTCAATCGCCTGCCACAGCGTTGATCGCACCTGGCAGTACCCAATCGGGCCATTCCTCACCAACAAGGGGTAACTTATTGCGAGGGAGGTCCTCTACTATGAGTTCGATAGGCCGAGACTCCAACGATGATCACCTCTTACCACCAACGACTCGTACGTCGTCTTCGACTGGCCGTAAAAGTTTTGGTGATTTGTTCGGACTGAGTCGTCTACGGCAGAATTCCGAGCTTAGCCGCCAGGGCACGTTGACTCCTACCACGCCTGCCTCTATTGGGTCCAAAAACAACTCGCTTCAGCTTGCTAGGGATTCGTTTGTTCTCCCAGAACGCTATGAAGACGAGTCACCCAACAAGTACCTTGGCCGCGTCGAAGAAGTTGCAAGCCGGGGTATCATTGCTGCTACTCTATCGAAGAGTGCTGATCCGTTCATGATATCTGTCCTTCGGAGCTACATGCGTACCTTTGGCTTCTTTGGTGACCCCATGGATATGGCGATCCGCAAACTTCTTATGGAAGCTGAGCTACCCAAGGAAACTCAGCAGATCGACCGCTGTCTACAGGCTTTTGCAAACCGCTACCACGAGTGCAATCCGGGCATTTATTCGTCACCTGATCAAGCATATTTTATCGCATTTTCCTTACTCATTCTACACACTGATGTCTTCAACAAGAACAACAAGCACAAGATGCAAAAATCTGATTACTTGAAAAACACGAACGGAGAGGGCATTTTTGACGACATTCTGGAATGTTTTTATGACAACATTACTTATACCCCTTTTATTCACGTTGAGGATGATTTAGACCCGACCAGTGATCGCTTTGCTTCACACAAGTCACGACGAAAACCTTTACTCCCCTCCACAGTTAATGACCCTGCAAAACGGGCTATTAAGGAGCCCATTGATCCATATACCTTGATCCTCGATGGAATGTTGGATGCCCTGCGGCCTAATCTGAAAGAAGCAATGGAGTTAGATGACCACTACAACTACTTAGGCTCTGCGCCCAGCCTGAACTTGAAGGATTTGCAAAAGACATTTTTCAAGACGGGTGTTTTACAGATCGTGTCAGCTCGATCTCGGCCAGATGCTTTCATGACAGAACAAACAGCAAGCAATCCTGCTGAAGCACACCCCGGAATTGTCGACATAAAGGTCACAAAGGTGGGCTTGCTTTGGCGGAAGGATGCAAAGAAACGCAAGGCACGGTCTCCTTGGCAGGAATGGGGAGCAATTCTCACCGGGGCACAACTCTATTTCTTCCGAAACACAGGCTGGGTTAAGTCACTTATGCACCAGTACGATAACCATATCAAAGCAGGGCATGATGGCATACCGTTGATCTTCAACCCACCACTTCAAGAGTTCAAACCAGATGGCCTTATGTCTACTTATGCCGCAGTTGCTCTTCATGATGCGGCTTATAAGAAGCATAAGAATGCTTTTGTATACGTACGACAGGGTGGCCTGGAAGAAGTGCTCTTGGCAGACAATGAGGAGGAGATGAATGACTGGCTCGCCAAGCTTAATTATGCAGCCGCCTTCCGGACCACAGGGGTTAAGATGCGCGGTGTCGTGGGCGGCAATTACGATGGCCAAAGTCGTCGTGGCATGCGAAGGCTTGACAGTGCCGATGCCGCCACGCTTATTCAAACACCAACAGGTCCTGTATCGATCGCGCGAAGTCTCATAGACCACAAGATGGCCGAAGACATCTCGGCTGCTCGGCGAGATGTTATGAAGCAGAAAATTGCAGAGGCCGAAGAGAACGTCCAGGAGATCCAGCAGCAGCTCGAGGACCAGCTCAGAAACGCGCGCCATCTCCAAATCCTTGCACCGATTCAGCCTAGAACAAGAGAACAGCTCTTGTCTGCCGCTGCACGGATATCAGCTCAGCTCAAGTGGAGCCGTCAAGAGATGTGGAAATCAAAGTGCCATCGCGATATATTGATACTTGACCTTGAGGAAGAATATCCATCTACGAGTCTCACTCCCACGAAGCAGCAGTCGAATCGACTTTCGCAGAGGACCGGGTCACCAACTCCACGAGCCAACATAGGACGCCGAGGGTCAAGGTCGACTCATCACTCTGGAACCGAAGGCGATCCCAGAACACCCACGGAGCCTCAAGTCGTCCACCTACCAAACTCTGAAACTACCGAGGATGTAGATTCGCCCTTGGACCAAGTTTTCACCACACCTCCCCAAAGCGCAACAAAACGCCGACACAGCTCACGCGACCTTTCTTTCGCCAGACCGGATGCTGCTAGTACAAGACATGGTTCCATATCAAGCATAGCCCAGTCTCCTATCGCATCACTGCCTCCGACCCCGTTGACCAAGCCTCTTTCACAAGACGAAACCCCCAAGTCGCCGCAACGCCCCGAGGATGACAAACGTCAAGACCCTGATGCTGATGAGCAGGATTTCCTGGAGCAAGCAGGTCTGCTCGAACAACGACCCAGCCGTGATCCCACAGATAAAGCAACTGTCTCGACTGGTGCCGATGTTACTTCTGAGTCGGGCACATCCACGGACAAGCTCGATAGAAGTAAGATCCGTCGTAGTCTCCAGCGAACTTTCAGAGAGGGCGCCGGACACCTGTCACATCACCGTGGTAGCCGCAAAGGCAAGGAAGTAGCCGGATCAGGAGAGGAATCGGGGCAGGATCACCAGCTCGCTAGAGGCACAGGAAGTTTTGTTGTTCATGGAAAGAAGGCATCGGTCATCAACTTTGGTGATGGCTTGCAGAACATGAGCCATGACGAAAAGATCCGTGCCCGAAAGTCGTCACAGCAACACGATTTCCCGCTATCTCCTATGCCAAGCGGTCCCGAGGATGATGATTTCCATTCTGCTGTTGGTGTCCCTGTTGAAACGACTGAGCGCAGAGAGTCTATTGCGAGCGCAAGCACTGCAACCGCCCGAAGCTTTCGTGAGCTACATAGAAAATACTCGACTGCGCAGGCGACTAGAAGCACGTCCGCTGGTGGCAGGTTAGCGATACCTTCGGACACGGAGAGTGAGGTTGCAGTTAGTTTCTCAGATGGTCGCCGAAGCCCTTTGCCTCCTATGGAAACAGAGACGGATGAGGAAGTTGACGATGCCGGTGTTAAGAGAGGTCGAAGTGTCAAGAAAGAAGAGTTTGAGAGTCGAGACTCGGATGCGGAGTCGCTCCAGGATGTTGAGCAGCTTCCGAGTCGCACTATGCAGCCTGTTAACGCCTGATCCTAAGAAGAGATGGAAGGCTGCTAAGTAGCGTGTTCTCTGTATATAGGGATTTTTTTTTTCACGTGGTGAATGAGCTTTGTTGGAATGGGCATACCCCATATATTCGTTTGAGCAACGAGCTACTGCAGGAATGGGAGATTGGTGTTGATGGCTCATATGATGTGCTGACCACAAGGGCATATGTATTTAGATATCCTCATATTGGCCCTGAGCTTTTGTTCATTTGTGTTTTTTTCTGTTTCGAGCTTGGCAGGGCACCAAAAAGTAAGCGTTAGAATTCTATATTAGTGGTATACGGTATCTGTCACATGCAACTATCTGCAACTTAAAGATCCATCGTGAAGAAATATGAAAGGTTACTGATAATCTTATGAAACCTTGCACTAATATTTGATCGCGATTCGAGGCGCATATAGATCTTGAGAAACGGGAAGCGGTTTGATATGGATATATATGCAGTACGTTGTCGTACTAGAGTATCTATTTCTTGCCCTTCTTCTTCTTCTTGGATGGTGGAGGTGCCTTCTCTACCTTGACACCTCCTCCACCTACAAGCTCCAAAGTCTCCTCCTCCTTTACCATACCACCTTGTGTGGACTCTCCAGCCTTCTTCTTTCCCTTCTTTCCCTTGGGACGGTATGAGCTTCGGTCGCGCAATGGCAACCAGCGCTCAGGGTCAGGTTTGCTGCCCTCGACGTAGTTCTTGGGCAGGCGAATCTTTCTGCGCCGCTTTTGTGTCTTTCCTTCATTTCCTGAGGGTGCTGCTCGCTTGAGAGTTGAGGATCCGGTCTTGCCAGTTGGAACGGCCACACCTGCGCTCAGGAGTGATGCGATATCGATACTTTCGATGAGCGAATCGACGGGAGGGAGGCTCTGGAGGTGTTTCTCGACGCGAGAAGGTTCTGAAGTGGCCAAAGCTGCAACGAGGCCGGCTGTGGCAATATCTGAGCCCTTCTGCTCGTCGATTAGCTTCTGGAATGAAGCGCCAGCAAGTTGCAAGTCCTTGTCGTTGGATGACTTCATTAACTCAATGCCAGCCTCCTCTAGAAGAGAGCTGGCCGGGCTCGCCTGCCGGAACTGCCAATGTGTCGCAGCCTTGACGAGTTCGGCCTTTGCTGATGACTCTCGACCCTGTACGCGCAGAAGAGTCACGGTCAGGGCAACTAGGCCTGGGCTAAACCGGGCGTTCAGTGCTTCTACATTTTCGGCCTTTTCAAGTCGCTGAAGGAAAGACTCGAGAATCGATAATGCTGAACCGACGTGACCGTCATTAAGCTGTATTTGTATGATAGTCAGGGCAAGACCAATGTCGCGTGGTCTCTTCTGAGCCAAACCCTGAAGGTTCTTGAGGAGTTGTTTTCCTGTGGTTCCTTGCGAACTCGCGGCAGCGTTAAGAACAGATAGAATGCTGAGGTTGGCGGAGGTTGTGGGGTGCTGTGCTTCAGCAAGAAGAGCCTCTGTACGTCGCTTGACTCCATCGCGTTTCAGGACTTGCAGGTCAACGGTCAGCCTGTTTCGTTGCAGGATTTCAGACTGATGCTGAAAGAGCTTTGCATGTGTTTTCCTGGCTGTCAGAGTAGAAAACCTTCGCTCAACAAGATAGGGGTTCTCGGTCTTGGGCTCCAGAGCTACCAGGTTGTTGCCAAGTATAATTGCCAGGTCAGGATCTTCCTCCCTATTACACGATTGTTAGCTTCGCGCGCACGATACGCAGTTACAGAACATACTTGGTGGTGGATAATGAGCTGTAGAGGTCGAGGGCCTCCTTCAGTTTGCCTAGTTTGGCAAAGACATATGCTTGTTGTGCGAGGATAGGTCGCATCTCGGCTTGCTTGTCCTCTTCGGCAAGATCGTCAGAGGCATCACACAGTCTACTGGCCCGCTGCAGCAGATCAGCAGCAGTTTCGAGAGACCCATTGGCAATATGTGCGCAGGCAGCGTTGTAGCACAATTCGAACCCATCAGAGTCTTGAACCACAATCCTATCAGTGACAGAGTACCCGAGCCAACTAGACTGGGAAAGCGCAGCTCGTAGATTAATGCTGATGTCGTTCTCCTCGTCGGCAGGGTCGGTATCAAGGAGGCGACTGTAGATGTTGCATGCCTCGTCAAATCGCTCAGCACGATACGCAACTTGTGCAGCGATGTGCTGCAAACTTCTTTTCTTCTCTAGGCCTGCGGCTTGGAGGACTGAAGTGGCTTCATCAAGCTTTCCTGTCTTGTAGAGCGCATATGCATGTTCGAGGTAAATTCGTGAGTGAAGAGTAGGGGAACCGTCGGCAATGGCGCGCAGAGCATCTTCAAAGCGGTCAAGCTTCAACAGGGCGACAACTCGAGTATGTTGGCTGTCTGTATCGTTCTTGTTTGCCTTGAGTGCAGCGTTGGCGGCCTTGAGGACTTCGTCGTGGTCGTGGATGGAGGACTGGCGCAACAAGGCGCTGAGAGCGGCGGCAGGATCCTGAGGCATGATGGCGATATTATGTTATGAGGGCAGATGCATGTCCGATCGAAAGGGATCTGGGGCGGGGTCGGGACAAGCCCAGAGAACTGATGCGGATGGTTGTTGCCGTCGAGGGTTGAGCGATGTGATGACCTGTCGTGTGTCTGTTCGGTCGTGGTGATGCTGGCGGGGCATTTTTGGATAGCGGGGCACAGTAATTCATCCAATTCGAAGCTGTTCTGTGCCTCGAGAACGTGACCCACTTTGAAGAAGGAGTTGGGGGAGTCGACTAGCAGTATAGTAGACTACTATTTAACTCTTCTCGTATATACTATTTCTAGATATAAAGTATTCAGTTTACTACTAAAAGTGAAGTTGTCTCTTTTCTTATTAAAATTCAAGGTCTTGATTACTTGTATACAAGTGTGCACTCTATACATCATATCTTATCAACGACTAGGTGCATAACCACACCAAGGTGGTAATTAGTTTGGAATCAAGACTTTATTAACTGACTATCCTACACTCATCGACAGCTTATCTACCCACACGGTATATAAATGGAAAATGAAAGAACTATATATCAGCATCCGTCGATCGTGAACGTCCGAAAGGATTCCACCACCTTTTCCGAGTTTGGACAACTTCGTTATGATACGTGTACAACGGATATGCAGCCATGTTCCCATAGCCCTCAACTGGCCTTTGCTTTGAGAGGCGTCGCCTGATCTCTCCCAACTTTGTGGAATCCGATGACATGGTCAATATTGAGACTCGGTTGTGAGGAGCTGGCTTGTCTGGTGAGCGTCGACCTTTGGAGCTTCGCTGTCGATGTCGACTGACGGATGATTGTAGTTGGCGACTCGAATGTCTCTTGCGCTCCTTGGTATCGCTCCTGGGCCGGCTTTCTGGCAGTTTCTGTGATTTATTCCTAGCTTTATGGTCGTGCGGATGCGATCTTTGTCGTCCCCTACTCACAACGCTACTTTGAGAGATGGTGCTTCTTGATCCTACTCTGCTCGACAAGTCATTCATGGTGCGAACTGCTTTTATACTGGATCCATTCGAAAGGGCTAATAGAGACTCATATCTGACCGGTGGTCGCTTTCCGTCATGTGAGACGATGTTGGTAAGCGTGGTGGTGAGTTTCTTAACAATTCGTCTTAAAGCCGATCGAGCAGGGGCTAGAGCATAGTTTAGATTTGAGTCCAATATAATTTCATATCATATAATGAAAAGACTCACCATCGCCTTTTTCAAAACGAGAGCCATCTTTGGAAAGCCGCGAAGCATATACTCGACGGACTCGTCTTCGGTCAGATCTAAGTGAGGCACTCAATGTTGAGTGAGTATCACTCAAAGCCCCATCATCGTGGCTACGGGTACCCTTTAAGAGGGACAAACACTTTGTGTAAGTATCCAGAAGCGAAGTGACTGCAGTTCCGAAATTGCCCATGGTGCTGTGCTGTTCACTAGGTCAGGTAGGTAGATGGTGGTGTAAAAGTGCAGCTCTAGCGGGACTAAAACTACTGTCAGATTCTACAGTACCTCAGCACGTGGACGTAGAAATTGTCCGTATTATCCACATTGATTATACGAATGTAATGGCTGCAACCTACTCACCTACCTTTATCCAGACTCTCTCTTGTGTCTACTAACTAAGTCCTACAGAGTTGAGCTGCCGCCGGCATCTAAATCCCTTTTTTCTCTACGGATACTGAAGATCCATGTCAAATCAAATTCAAAAACCAAGATTGCGCAATAAAGCCTATATGCAGAGAACCACTTATCAGTCACAACGCATCAACGGGCAACTTACTCGCATTGCATGTATTTCACCATCGGTGCCGATAAGGTGTATTCTACATGCATATATGTTTGGACCAACAGCAGAGGCGATCTTGAGTCAAGATACAAAGGGCATGCATTTCGACCGTCCACTTGGGGTCCGAACAGGTGCGATACAAGCAAGAATGGTCTCTGACAGGTGATAGTGACGGGATTGTCCTCAGGTCCCGCGACGCTACGGAACAGGGGCCCGCCAGACCGTCCGCACATACTATTAGTACAACGGGTGCGGGAGGAGCCATAAAAGTTTGATTTTTTGTCAATCAAATCTTGTGGCAGACTTGGCGTCCCCAAAGGCCCAAAGGGTGTGGGGGTGGACCATCCAGAGACCGTCTGCTAATCAGTTCAAGGACCGGCTATTGTCTTGTCCCTTGCTCTTTGCCCCTTCACTCAATCAAGACTGCGATTCCGACTACGGATCACAGCACAAGCCCTGCTTGCTTGATATCTAAGGTACACCACCTTTTGCGCCCGTTACAGATCGCGTGGCAGCCCCCAGCAGTCCCTCCGGCATGATAATCAAGTCCCCTTGATATTCGATGCTTGAGGCTTCAGGGACCAAAAGATGAGGAACCAATAGGACGGAATCAAGAGGGGCGGCACGTCTCTATTAGTTGGAGTCAAGCATGTGTTTCATGAATCTCAAAGAGAACGAGGGAAAAGAATCAGTCACCTACTTGTACGAAAGTAGATGCGTCGCGCCATGTCAGGATTGCTTGACTCTTCTGCATTCATCCCCTGAACCCGTGGGTTTGTTTGCTTTTATCCTCTCGGTGTTACTGATTGTGCTGTAGGTACCTGGGTTAACAGGTACCTACTATCGGCTGTAAGATCTGTGGCAGGGTACATTCAGTACGTACTGGCCTTCTGTCCCCCCACTCTCTGGCTTCGCTCTGTTGTGCCAGGGCCATGCGGGTCTCAACGTGGGAGTTGTGATGCCATCAGTTGGCCTGCGGGCGCAGTCGGTTTAAGATTCGTGGGTTGCGCTGATGGGTGTTGATGGCGACAGCGAGAGCGGATGATAACGTCGCGAATGCGGATCCTGAATGATACCTTACCTACATGCAAAAGGTACCCCGTTAGCAAAGATACAGTACAGTATCGGCTGCTTGGCCGGCTATTGTGTGCTGATGCTTTCGTCGTCTTTATCACCCTGTTGATCAGGTACGTGCAAGTCTCTTCCAACACAACACAATTGGCCCGCATCACGCAACTCAATATCCCTGGGGCTCAAATTTCGACAGTGATCGCCCTGCTTTGCTTTTATCATTAGAGCCGCCCGCCTTTTTCTCCTACTTGTTTATTTCTTGCATATCTCATATTTGGCTCCCACTGCCACCGACATTTCCATGGACGACTCATATCAGTCTCGATCCCTCTCTTCAATACCGTTCTTGGTTTGGCAAACTTAATGTCACCCTCTCCCTCCCCTTCACTCCCACCGGCCTCAACGCCGCAGACTGAAGAGTCTCAACTTCCAAAAGGACAATGCCGCTACATTCTCATGATACCTGAGCTCAAGGGCCAGAGGTGCGGTTGTATGGGGTTTGACCACAACAAATCATTGCCTGGCGCTACCTGTAACTGTGGCCATCTATCCTGCTACCACATCACCATGGCCGATGCGCCAACGCCCAACACGAATAAGTCCGAAATCGACATAGTCAAGCAGCAAATACAAACCCTGGAAGAAAGGTTGCATCTGGATGACCGTGGTCGGATTTCTCACATCATTAACCGCATCAGCGCACTGGAGGAATCGGTGGAAAAGAACAAAGAAGAGACCGACATCGAGCTCAAGAGCTCATACCGTAATGCGGCTGCCGCATGGGCACTCGTTGCCCAGTTACAACAACAAATGAAAAAAATGGAACATGTCTTGGAATCACAGTCGGAACAAATGGCAAGGACGACAAGAGAAGTGGAAGACTTGCGTAATCGCCAACTGGAGCTGCTAGACAGCGACGAAGTTTTGGAGGAGCGCATCGAAAAGCTGGAAAGTGCAGAGCTTCCATCGCCAACCCGAGAATATGGCCCGGCCAGTGCCCCTTTAAATCTACTACACATCTTGCCCGCGACCACTATGGCCTCAGAGAGGTCGTTGGATTCATCAAATGTCCCGCCAACTACCCAGCCTACAGCCGTTGAAATTCCAAGATCTTGGACAGTGCACGTATCTCTTATGCCGTCCAAGGACACACCATTTCCATTTGAAAAAGACACGACCTCATATAAACGGTGCCTTTCTCGCGGGCTCCACCGTATGTTGGCAGTGGAGGGCAACGATGCCCAGTCATTTACAGATGCTGTATCGCGGGCATTCGAACCCCTGCTTAAAGGGAGACCCTGGGTGCCACTGCAAGCAAAGCTTTGCGACGCCGAACGCTTGCAGGGTCTGCCCATGCTGCGACTGTTGGAGCCTAGACTTCTACAAGGCAACTACGACCAAGCTTTTCTCAAACAACACTGCGCCGTATTGGATGCTGGAGGCAGGATTGACTCTCTTTATATCGCAATGGAACATGATTCACTGTCATGGAATTTTCTGAGGCGGTCACCTGTCTACATGTACGGGTTGGAGTCGGCTTGGACGCACGATACTATGCTCGACAAAAAGGACGAGCAAGATGCTTCAAAGGATCATCTGGGGGATGAAGGTGATGAATCACCGCCTGCAGGTAACATCGTCAGGGCACTGACAGGCCTCAAGCGTAGAATGTCTGACATCTCGTGTTCATCACTCGATGACACTGATTTGGCCGTGATCAAGATACCGCGAACATGCAAAAGTTCGCCATTGGAGATACGACGTGGAGTAGAGACTGCACGATAGAGTAACAAGAGACGGACGCAGAGCACTACAGGAACCAAGGATCTGAAGATCTGGCCTGGCATATGGGCAAAACTTGGTGAACACAACTTCTTTTCGGGCATACATAAAATGGGCGTTGGACTGACTATTCGCTTGGGAAATGATACCTCGGGCACAGCACTGGCCCATTCTTTAAAAATAAGGCGCCTGCCATTTTCGGTCTACTTTGAAATAGAGTATTAGGATTAGAAGATAGAGAAAGATTCATTATACACACGTTGCATATAGATAACCGAGGAACACAATCAGCGGGCAGCCATTGATATTGGGGGATAAGGAATATAGGGCTCGCCCCTACCGCGTTCAATTGGTTTGCATGTGATGACGGATGGATGCAATGTCTTAAGCTTCATACCGCACTGCATTGGACACAAAGATAAGCATGTCCCTTGATCCATGTACTTATACGACAGGACTTGTTGCACTTTGTCGGCTGCATACTGCATCGGCTGGGCTATAGTGAACTAAAGGACTTACTAAGACTCTTGGCTTAACGAATCGACTGCAAACTTATATACCTACCCGAGTAAGCATAAAGGTTGGTGAACCTTTCCAAGGTCCTCAAGAACAATGGCTTACAACTATGGGTTTGTTCAACACCAACATGTAACTGAATTTACGAGGACTTGACATGGCACTTGCTGTATGAGAATACTGATACACTTAGGATATAGAGTATAAAGCGAGGTATAAATCTAATAAGCTGCCAAGGATATTCATGTAGGTAGGGAGTCGGGATATTTTGTATGTTGGCTTAGGGATGTTGAGGACTGGCATCCCCATGTGTTGCCGTTTTGGGAAAGTGCGCTAAAGTTGTGGCTTTAGTGCATCTGGCATCTGCGGGTAGGTCCCGTGAATCACTGTAATCAATACCTTGACTTTGAGTTATAGGCAAAATGTTAAATCTTCCAAAGACTGCTCATAATTGAGTACCTGCCTCTATAAAAAGACTTAACATGTTCAGGTTTTGCATCTTACACTTACTACGGTAACATACCCATTCTTTCCTCGAGGGACATGCAGACTTAGTGGCGGAGCGGCCGGCCACTTAAGCTCCGACCAGTCCATACAGCGCTAGAGAGCATCAGCTGCAATCCGACTTTCACTCTTACTTTTAACATTCTCACTCTTATTCTTCTCCCAAAGTTTCACAAACGTTCTTACGATTTGCACCTTGTACCCTTGCTTGTGTTTTGCTACTCTTTACACTCAAAGAAAACTTCAATCTGACACTCACTCGCTGCTCACACCCATCGACAACTCAGACACCAACCATGGATCTCGACATTGAAATGGACGATGCCGTCGACACGGTCCAGGACCTACCCGTTCCTGATCTCGGTCGCGATGATATTCTCGTAAGGCATAAATCATAACTACCATACTGCGACCCCGAATTGACCTCCTTTTCAGCAGCCCGATGAGCTTGAAGAGCCTGGCGAGGTGGCCGAAGACGAGCCTGTGACAGACGACTCCAAGACCCTCGTTCCAACCAAAATTCACATCAAGGGTGTCGACTCTCTACACACAAATGACATCAAGGCTTACGTCAAGTCTCACTTTGGCGACGTTGAAAGAGTCGAATGGATCGATGATTCCTCCGCCAACCTTCTCTTCCCATCCGAACCCACAGCACGCGATGCCATTGTTGCACTAAGCTCTGTCCCAGTAGCAGATGCTACAGCCCTAGCTGTAGGCGAAACACTACCCGCGAAGCCTTTCGAGTCGAGGCCAGAAATCTCCCTTCAGGTGCGATTTGCTATCTCGAGTGATAAGAAAGAAGCAGGCGCTGCCTTGCGGAGTCGCTACTACCTCCTTCATCCTGAGCACGACCCCGAAGAACGACGACGAAAGAATAACGACAATCGGTCGAGATACAGGGAACGCGATGGTGGATACCGTGGAGACGGTGGCCGAAGACGACGCGCTTCAGACGACGACGTTGAGACATTTGAGGCCAGCATGTACGACGATGCGCCCCGCCCAGCACGAAGAAGACGTGACTCCGACATAGAGGAAAGACCACGTTCATATGCCCGCGAGAACCAAGGCAAGGAGCTCTTCGTTGGTCGCAGGAAACAGCGCGATCGATCTGCGTCTCCCAGACGCGATGGCGACAGCGACGATCTGATGAGCGAAAAAGTAAGCTCGTCTCGAAACAGATCGAGGGCTCGCGACCTCAGGGATCGCATATCAAGCGGAAATAATTCCAAGGAACTATTCCCTACCAAGAAGTCAATTAAGCAGTTTGGAGGAGGAAATCTGGATACCCTAGAGCAGGCTATAGGATCAGCCCGCCTCAAGGATGAGGATCGCCCCAAGATTGTGTCTGTGCCTGGCGCACGAGGAGACAGCAGCTCGTTCAACATCCGCGGCATGGCGAATCAACGAGGAGACGGAGATGGGTTTGCGATCAAAGGTGCGGCAGGAGCAAATGCGCGAGAACTATTCCCTACCAAGCTGGGTGGAAACAATGCTGGAAAAGAACTATTTGGTGGTGGAAGATCAAAGCAACGCCAGAAGGCCGAGGATCTCTTCTCTTGAACCCAAGGATAATCTTGAACATGGCTTATACCACGGAAGCACAGACTGGACCAATCATTCATCTAGAAATCGCAATGGATTTGGGTGTGTGGTGAACAGATATAGTTTTAGAGCGATACCACAGCGCAGTAAATATACATTATAGTACAGTAAGGATAGCCTGAGTTGAACAAGTCAGACTGTTGGCAATAGCAAATACGACAGACTGGATCATTTTCATCGTGAGCCTACCACCACTTCTCTAACATGACTCTCTTCTTGTCCATTCCGCCATCTCTCGTCAACCCATCCACGATCTCATCTGTCATCTCTGCCGGCCCACATACATACACGATAGACTCATTCTCCTGTCCAGCAATGGCTTCTTTCACATCGTGAATAGTGAACCTTCTTGTCGCGATGTCGAACCCGCTCTCATCATCATACTTGCCATACTTGCCATATCCACCAGTTCCGAAGACTTTTAGATCGCCACTAATTTTTTTCTCTTTAAACCACTTCCTGATCCTTTCCAGGAAGAGAACACCCGTCAATCCCTGCGCAGATACCTTACTGGAATAGAGGACCCTCACGTCAAGTTGGTAACTCCCCTCTGCTATACAACCTATCATGCTGGCAAAGGGGTTGATACCTACGCCCCCCGCCACGAACACCACACGGCGTATCTTGTCAAGAGGTATCTCAGCTGGGGGAAAGATAAAACTACCCCCTACGCGTACTTGCAGCTTAGATCCCAGAATCTCAGACGGCGGCTGCCAGAGCCATGCTGCAGGAGGGTTATCCGGGGATTCTTGAACTGCTAATTCGAAGTAAGGAGAATCAGGTCTCATCGCGGCTTTGGGTGGAGAAGTGATGGTGAAGCCACCTGGTTTTGGATTATTAGGTACATATGTATCCAACCACTGACCGGCTGAGAACTGCTCATAAGTCTTTAGCATACTACTTATTGTAGATTTTAGATTGTCGTGATAGCAAGAATGGCTACGTACCTTGACTGGTCCCGATTCGAGCTGTAGGCGAAGCAGCCGAATTCGCTCATTGACCTGATCCATACGACTCAGCCTTACATTCAGAAGACTCTAACAGAAACAGATCAGCTAAGATCCTTGCTTAACAACACAAAGATATAAACCTCATCTCGTGGTTCTTGGGCCGTCCTTTCTAGATGGCCGGTTCGTTGGGTTGACATTGTTCTGGTGAGTAGATTTATTGGCTTGATAACGACAAGTTTTGGCCTTTGACCCAAAAAGGAGACACAATTTTTCAGTGGTCCAAGTCTCGTATACATAGCACCGCTGGCTACTGACAGTTACTGAGTATATCCGTGGAAGATGAAGTTGCAACATCAGTTTGTCATAGTGGGGCTGACAAGTCGTGGATATGTAGACTAAATGCATCATTAAGCTGAGTCAGGCAACATTTTGAAGGAATTCATTATACAAACACCACTGGGTCTTGTAAAAGTTGCTACACGCTTGAAACGAGTATAGTATTGAAAGAATTTTGTTGCAAGAAGTAATGCTTAAACATCCGGTTTGGAATTCTATCTTCAAGTCCAGCCCCTATAGTCCACAATCGCGGGTTACATTACTATCTCTAAGGCATGGCCTGCCCTATTTGACTCATAAATTTGTCAAGCAAGTGCATCTAGGATGACTCTGTCCAGTTGACTTGATCCATAACCTGTCCAGCAGTTGGGTGTGTATATCCAATTCTCAGACGTAGACGCAGTGGCTACAGAATTTGTTAGTGCATATCATTTGTGTAGGACAAAAGGATTACTTACTCCCTTGCAGCCGGATACTCGCATCATCTGAGAGGCTTCAGCTCCAGGTCCGAGGTCTGATGAAGAGATGCTCAGCAGCTGCAGCCTTTGAGACTTGGGAACGGCAGCTTGCAAAGACACATTGGACAATGTTGCGGAACCAGACGTGTTGATAAACTTGGCAGTGGCTTGGATCATGCCCTCAGCGTTGCGCTGAACTTGGTACGTCACATTAAGATCGTTGGCATTGTAGCAAGGGATTCCAGCAGGTGCTTGTGGTGCTTGAGGTTGAGGCGCTGAGGAGACGGGCGACATAAGGTCGAGGTTTGACGAGGGAGGGGCGGGAGATGCTGTGGAAGATACAGGAGCAGATCCGAACAGATCCATAATGTTTGACATGCCGGATTGGGGAGGCGGCGAAGATGCAGATGGCGGTGGGGAAGAGGCGCCGCCCAAGATGTCGGCGAGAAGGTCAGTGTTGGTTGTCGAGGGCGCCATCGGCGTAGCAGCAGGTGCGTCCATAATGTCAAGAAGGTCTTGTTCTGTCGGCTTGATGACTCTTGACTTCCTGTTGGAGGTCTTCTTTTTAGTAGGTGCAGATCCAAGCACACGGGACTCTTCCTTGATTTGAGGGATGGGCATCTTCTCGAGCACACCACGTCGAACCTGATCAAAGCTGAAGAGATTACCGTATTCAACTACTCGCTGCTGAATCTCAATATCAAGACTGGTCTGGTGATACTGTAGGATTCGTCGAATCTTCTCAATCTGAGCCGGGTCAGTGAAGCGGGTTGTCAGCTTCATCAGCGCCGTCACGATGTACTCCGTGGAAACCTGTGTGGCATATGCACTGTTGAGAATGAGAGAGAAAAGGTCAACGACCTCGTGCTCCTTAACCTCCTGCACGAGCTCTTCCTCCTCATACTGCCCACCCTTTAGCAGAGCATCAGCATATTCGCCAATACACCAGGCACCAGCTTGTGTTAGACTCTCCTGGGTGATGTCCTTCTTGAGATTAATGTATAGTTTTTGCACCGCATATGTCTGCAATTCGGGAGTGGTGGCGACTAATCGGACAAATGATGAAAGAATTTGCTCCTTAACGTAGTTACCCGCTAGAGACAAAACACGAAGCATCGTGTCAAAGTGCCATCGCTTGTTGGGCGCAAACTTATCAGCAGCAATGCCAATCTGACTGGTCATTGTTGGCTTGAACTCGTTATCTGCAACTTCCAAGAAGGCCAAAAGCTCACGGATCAAAACCCGGACGTTGCCTTCGTTGATCAGTGTAAAGCTCAGGTCCAGGGCTCGGCGTCGGATACTAATATCAGGGTCTCGCAAACATTCCAAGATGGTGTTTCGATGTCTTTGAACAGCATTGGGCTCAATGGCGACAACCTTGATCAAAGTGTTGAGAGCAACATATCGGATGTTGTTGTCGCGGTTGGTGAGGAACTTGCCTAGAATATTGACACCGAGGACTCTCAAGCCAGAGTCGGCCTCAATGTCGAGAATTGTGCGGACGGCTTCGTACAGGATTGAATTACCAACATTCTTAGATGATTCGGTGTTTGTAGCAACCTGTGCCAAAATATCGTTGATCTGCTCACTGGTCTCGGCGTCACCCACAGCCAGAACTCTCAGCAAGTGTAGAATCTTGACCTGCAAGAAAGGATCGGTAATGCCAGTAACATCGTGTTCGGGTGCGTAGCCGGAAGTTGCGAGTCCTTTCAAGGTTCTGACAAGTCCAGGGACAAACGATCGGAACTTTTCGACAATCCCTTCTTCTCCACCCTCCTCCTCGTCTGCCTCGCAAAGGCTTGTCACCAAGGTAAGACCGCACAGCAAAACGCCGTGGTTTCTGTCGGACAGGAGCTGTGTTGCCTTTTCGATGAAGTGTTCTTGAAGATCCGGAACCTTACGGCATATGCGCATGGCGCAGAGGGCCGCCTTTCTTCGAATATAGGGGTTGGCGGTAGCGACAAGAGTTTCGATTTCGGGGAAGAGATCCCGTGACATCTCAATCGAGGCGATGTTTCCTAGTGTGCAGAGCGCAAGACCGACAACATATTGGTTGGAATGTCCAAGGTCACTAGACTTGAGTAAGCACCCAGTTATTCCGAGGGACGATAGAAGCCGCATACTTCTTGAGCGAGTTGGTTACCAGTGTTAGGACTTCCTGATTCTCATCCAGTAGCAAACTTGTAGCCAGGTGTCCCAGACGTTTATCGGCGAATCGAGGGGAGGCCAGGAGCTTCAGGCATTCGATCTGACCAAAATGGGTTCGCTCTCCGAGTGTAAAGAGGTAGAGTAGTTTGGCGACATTGTTACGACTAACACAGTATCAGTACATCTAGTTGTCTAATGACGCCTTCGAAACTGACCGAATGTTAGGATCATGGCTCTCTTCTCGAAAGCTGGCGCGGATTGCAGCGCTTTCCTTCTGAATAACAGCACGCTCGTCGGCAATCGTTTTGGCCGCACGCACGTTCCGAATAAATTGCTTAACTATGCAGAGGAAATGTAAAGGTAAGCCTCTAAAATATAATATCGGGGGAAAGAGGTCGTCGGTGGCGTACGGGAACTCATCTTGGGAGGACAGACCCAGCTGTTGGGCCGTCTTGTCGATGCTTATCCAGGGGTTATGAGGGAGACGTGGGAGTTTCGTCGAAGCTCGATCAGCTCCAGTAAAGAGCAATGAACGAGGTAGTAGATCGCTTTATGTGAGGCGTAAGGCGAAGAGGTGGATTGGAGAGTTTGATCGGAGCCTGTTCAGGCAGCTGTATAAGGAGAAACTAAGTTGCGCCGACACAGGTCAGTCTTGGTGACGGTGTGCTGTCTGTATCTGTAGTGCTTGCTGCTTGCGTTGCGGCGGACACCTTTCAGACGTGGGGCACAGACTCCACGCCCGCCGAATTGGAACTCCTTGGCAGTACGTACTTAGTCTACCTTAGTCATCAGGATATTTATGTCAGTAGGAGTCGTCAAGGAATAATCATTCAACACAACTTATTCTTCTTAAAAGCTTAATAGTATTAAAATATCTGTAAAAACTGTAATGATCTATTCATGCACGCATAAGGTATTGACTATAAGAATATACACAAAGTGTCTCGTACAACGTTGAAGCTCTCCCCATAACATAGCCTACTCTCCCACAGCCCTTATTTTACATCAGGACGACTCAGAGGATGTGCCTCAGTGTTGAACACCCATTCATCAAGGCTGATGACATCAAAATCGCTGAAAATAAGATAAAAGTACTTGAGCGTTTCGGCCAACCAAAAGCTCTCCATGCTGTCCATCTTGGTAGGCTCCGCTTTCGTAACATCGTCGATTGCCGAAGCTGCGATCTCGGTTCTCGTCACCTTCTCAATTGTTTCGAACATAGTCCATGCCTTCTCCAACCACTGCGCGTCGCCAGTGGTTCGGTACATGACAAAGATGGACTCGATAGCCTCTGGCCTCAAGATATATCGGGGGTCGCTCACATCAATCATGCCTTCTGGGAGATTGTGCTTTTTCACGACATCCTGGACGGTAGGCCTCTTCCATTCAGGCCCCCTCATCGGCGGAGCCTTGAAGTCAGGGGCATGCTGCTCTTCGATAGCCTTGAGCCACCGCTCCTCACTCCAGGTACAATCACCTGTCTCCTTGACATCAACACTGCCGCACGAGATGAAGTTGAATACCTCGGGTCCAAGACCAGTCTTGGTGGCCTGGTAAGCCCATATGCAACCGTCCGTAAGTTGGGTGGCAATATCTAGGTCAGCCGGACGGTTAAATATCTTGCTAGCCATTGCCATCATGCCACCGGCGAAGCAAGTGAGATGCTGGCCTCGGGCTACAGAGGTATACTTGGGTTGTTCTCCTGGCAGATCCGTTACCTGGTAGTCGCCAGAAATAATGATGGGTTTGTCCGAGGGTGTCATTGCTCTCTTGAAAAGGTGCTTAATGGCGACAGGAATGAAATTCTCGTACAGCCGACGAGGCTGGTCCAGTTGACCACCAAGAAGAAGGTACCACTTGGGAAGGTATTCATACAATGAATCAGACATACCACCAAGGGTAAATTCTGAGCCAGCATGGAACGCTGGCGTGTAAGCATCAACAACCACCGGCCACATGCCAGGAAGACGAGTGTTGAGTTGCGTAGACTCAAACTGATCCCCGAGCCTCTTGACAGCGTCGTAGTACTTCGTGTTACCAGTGATTTGAGACAGTTTGGTAAGTTCCAAACTCATAGAGCCCAGCTCAGAGACAAGAGTCTCGCGCGAGGCGGACTGGGACTGGCCGTAAGCAGCTCTGAGGATGTGTTAGCAAGTAAACAATGCTCGTCAGTTCACAAAAACTTACTTCTTCCACTCCAATCGAGTAACTGGCATATGGTTGGGTGTGTCAAAGGCAACCATGAGAAGATCTCCAAGCTCAATGGCCTTCTCGAGCAAAATAGAATGAGCTCTTCCGCTCAACTCGTATGCTGACAAGAAACCACCAAGATAGCGAATAGTGGTCTCGAAAATGTTGATAGTGGTCATGGAACTTCTGGTGAAGTCAATGCCATCCGCAGCGGCGACGGCTTTGGTAAACTCTTCCTTCATGTCCATAATCCAGAGCGTATCAAGGGCATCGACCAGTGTTGCAGCCCAGCCACCAAAAGGATCCTTGGACTTGCCGGTCAATGGGGTCACTTCATCATGCATCCATGCGTAATTAGAATACCCGCTCCAGCTGTGTTCGAAGCTCTTCTTGACGGCAGCAAGACGTGCCAGTCGCGTTTCCTTTGCGACAGCGCTCTCAACTGGCGCATTAGCTTGAATCTTGGGTACCTTGACACCTCCTTTGATTTCAGGTAACACGGCCAGTTTATCTTGGGGAATTGGATATTTGGGTAGTCTTCGCGTCCAGGCACTGGCGCCTTTTCCAGCAAGAGGATCATCCTTGCCGAACAATGTGAAAGTTGAGTCCGTACTTGACCAGTACCAAAAGCCAAAGATCCAGATGAGGACGACACCAATCCAGAGACGGCCTCGGCGTAAGGGACCCGCCATTGTGTAGCGTAGACTGAGGATGAGCGACACGAAGTCACGGTGTTAAATACAGTAATGGACAAGTCGATACTTCACATTTCAGGCCCAAGATGGGGGGGAGAGTGATTGAAGTCCAAGACGTTGATGTGCTGCTTGCTTTGTTGGGTTTTGACCTCCAGAAAAGTCGGCGATGTGTCTCGACTCAAGGGGGGAGGGCCACGCCTCATACAAGTCAGATGCCAGACTAGCTACTGCAGACAGGTGGTGAAAAGCGACTGAAGCTGAGTAACGGTGCTTCAGATTACACAAATGCGTCCCCTGGTATTGGAAGAAAGGAAAGAAATTTGAAGGTAGATTGGGATGATGAGGGGCGATTGCATTTCATACCCTCGACTAGACCAGCGCAACTACTAAGGGTAAATTAATGACTGTCTTGTCTCGTATAGCCTGTGGCTAAGGGTTGTCGGCTCTGTCCAGTTGGGAATGGGACATTGGATGGATGGAAATTGCGGCGGGCGGCCAACTAACACGTGAAGGAATGAATGCGCCGTACCCATACCGCAACATGACAGGGTCCAGTCGCCCTTGCTTGGCATTGACGATGCTTACTTTTCGAATTGCAGTAACCATACCGAGTTATACAGGTCCAACATATACTTGACAAGCTTTACGAGAGCCAATTAGATAGATGTTTGGTCAAGCATTGTACTTGGTTACCAGAAAGCGACCAGGTGCTCGTTTCACAGGTAGTCATGCTCTTGTTGACAATAATCCTCCTGGACCCTTGAGGATACCCGCAAATCCTACGAGGTCCCTCCCTTGAATCCATAATTAGGTAGGCGATGGATCAAAGGTAAGCTGGCATGGCCTGGGTGGCCAGGTCCAGCTCAACATCCAATCTAGTCCACTACCTTAGTAGTCCTAAGCTTCGGAGCTGTGTTCCATCGATAGTTGGGGCCACTAAAATTCGACCTTTCCCAGGGTCGACTACCTTCCATTTATCAACATTGAATACCCCTGGATTTGCACGACCTAGAAAAGTAAGTAGAATGCATACTAGCTGCAAATGTCATACTAATATCGTCACATATTTTATGCTCTACATCGTTCAACGGGCTTCGTTCCTTCAATGGTGAGGCGCACCAGCCTAGGTGGGCTGTAGGGCTGATTACAGGCAGCCTCGTAGGCTACTCCTTACATGGCACCCTCGCTCAACCATGAAATTGGTTGAAACGGTACATAGCTTTGACCGCCTACTCATTGCCCCTCACCGAAATCGCGTGGTTATGCCTACAAATCAATCATGAAAACAATCAAGAGTTTTACTATTTCACTAATAGAAGCACCGAGGCCAAATGGAAAATTTCTCTGTTGCTAGAAGCCATGCAGGTAGAAATTCATGGCATAATAACCGTGCACATCAAGTACCACGGAAAACAAGCCACTACAATTCATAACTTTCAGCCCAACAAGTCCAAGATGCTCTCCGTATCGCTTGCAGTTTTGCCCACTAAGTAAACAAGATCCAACCCACTCCTCGTTATGCCATACATATTCGTCGCTCATCGACTGGCGAGAGCATAAGGACGGCAAGGCCGAGGAATTGGTCGACGAGGTATCCGAATATTAATCTCTTATTTTTGCATCATAAGCTGGACGAACTCGTTGTCTATTCAAATGGTCAGCAACAGTGCACATATGGCATCTCTATTTTCCAGTCCGTAAGCAACTCACAGTCGATTCGGCCATCACCGTCCTGGTCAGCCTCCCGGATCATCTCATCAACCTCGTCATCGGTGAGCTTCTCACCAATGGAGGTCATGACATGTCGGAGTTCGGCAGCGGAAATGAAGCCGTTGTTGTCACGGTCGAAAACCTTGAAAGCCTCGCGGATCTCCTCCTCAGAGTCGGTGTCCTTCATCTTGCGCGCCATCATGGTAAGGAACTCTTTTCTCCAATGTCAGTCTTGTCACTCTGTAATCAGCTTAGGAAATGACGCACCAGGGAAGTCGATGGTGCCGTTATTGTCAGCGTCGACCTCGTTGATCATATCCTGAAGCTCAGACTCGGAGGGGTTCTGGCCGAGAGAGCGCATGACGGTTCCAAGCTCCTTGGTGGTGATTTGACCTGTAGTGAATGTTTAGCCCATGTTTTATCGGCTACGTGTGCCCCAAATAATGCGGATGCGGTCGTGTATATTCATTCGAGACTCTGTTGGTATGAATTTGACGATCGCATTCGACCAGTGAGGGCATGTCGCGAAAGGGGGCAGCATTGCTCACCATCGCCATCCTTGTCCTGTACAGCGAGATTAGCAACAGCTTCAACCAAACGAAAGGCACAAGGAAGGGAGTTTACTTACAAACAGGGAGAAGGCCTCCTTGAACTCGGAGACTTGCTCTTCGGTAAGTGAGTCGGCCTATGTTAACAAACTCGTCAGCCCAAGTTCTCAAGACAAAACATCGCCAAAACCATCAGATACGATAAAGCCCCTCTCCCAGCTGGCCGCGGGGTCAATGCTCTTTGGCGATAGCGCCATGCAAAGGGAGCAAGGCGGTAAAGTAAGAGATGATAGTTGCCAGGCTTGACCAAGTAGCAAGAGTGTCCAACTTACCATGTTTGCTGTGTATGGTAGTTGAAGTAGATAGTAAAAAGGTGGATGTCGATCGCACGAGAAGGAAGAAGATGACTTGGATAAGTTCTGAGGTCGCGGGGCCTCAAGCCAAGAATGTCGGACCTTTTCGTTTGGTTGGAGCTTTCGTGGGGAGAACCAGTGGTCAGGGGGAAATCGGTACCTAAGGCAGGAAATGACACTGATAAAGGGGAACAATGCACTGTGTTTTCTTTGCTTGGGCGGTCTGTAGTCTTGCGACTAGTGGTTAGAGCTCGCTATAGGGGGCCTTGCACACTGTGCGGCTCCATCCCGAGGCCGTTTCAGGCGGGCACTTTGTTCACTACAAGCTCCCGTCGTCCTGTTCCACGGATCCAATCCGCTGATGTGAGCCCCAGTGGAGGAGGTACTTGCCGCGAACCTAAAGGGAGGAAACTGGACTCGTTGACCCCTGCAACTTACTCTGACCAACGGGTCTGTGAGTGGGCTTTCCGCTGTCTAGTGTCGTAATGCTCCCTCCCAGCCGAAGCCAGCTATCTAGAAACCAACAACCAGCCCCAACCCGCATCGCATCGCATCATCCCAACTAATCGCGATCCTCTCACTCATGACGACAATACCTTCACCTATCGTCCCATGACGTTCTACTCTGCGACTCTGATTTCTTAGGCTCTCACTCCATTGCTTGTCTTGACATAGATTCGATCTCTCTATTGCGTCCGCCATGTGGCGAGACCGCACCAACCTGTACGACGCCCATCCATTAGTAGTCACTTCACCTCAGCATATCGCAACATTGTGCTGACATAGATTTAAAAACAAAGATACATCTCCTATCGGCAGTCTTACGCGCACCACCCCACCCAGCGAAGACCATATGGGCCCGGCGCCTCTGCTTCTGGTTCTCTTGCCGACGACTATATCAGTAGCTATCCAAACGATGACCGCCGTGGCCTTCTCTCCAACGGGGCCTTTGAGGACGATGGCGATGCTGTAATTGAAATGGATGTGCTGCCCCCAAGATGGGCTCAGTTTTCGGACGAGATTACCGATTTGCTCGCCGATATTGCGACAAAGGGCCAACGCTTGGAGAAGCTGCATCAGAAACATGTTCTACCAGGTTTTAATGATGAGGAGGCAAAAAAGGCCGAGGAGGCGCAAATAGAGAAGCTTACCCAGGACATCACCAAGGGCTTTCATGCTTGTCATCGTTGCATACAAAAGATTGAGCAGATGGTACGCGAGTCTCAACATGCTGGCACAATTACAAGGGCAGAAGAGACCATGGCCAAGAACATTCAGACTTCGCTGGCCTCACGGGTTCAAGATGCAAGCGCTAGCTTCAGAAAGAAGCAGAGCGCATACTTGAAAAGTCAGTTTTCTCTCAGTTACCGACAAACACGTTCTAACTTGTATTCGCAGAGCTTCGTGGAATGGGCGGATTTGGCGCTTTAAGTCCCGGCGAGAGATCCAGCACTCCTCAACCAGGCTCGTATCTTGACCCATCTCTCCAAGAATCAGATGCCGACCGATCGTTTTCGCAATCAACCCTTCAAGCAACCCAGCAGCAGAGAGTACTTCATTCCAATGATGCGGCTATTGCTCAACGGGAGCGCGAGATCGAGGACATCGCCCAAGGCATTATCGAACTATCTGATCTCTTCCGCGATCTTCAGAACATGGTCATTGACCAGGGTACGATGCTCGACCGTATTGACTACAACGTTGAGCGCATGAATACAGACGTCAAGGCAGCCGATAAGGAGCTAGTGGTTGCGTCAGGCTACCAAAAGAGGACGACCAAACGAAAGATTATTCTACTCCTCATTCTTATCATATTTGGCATGATCATTTTGCTGGTGATCAAGCCCAAGAAACATGGGTAGAAGGCGTTTGAGCATCAAAAAAATCTTGGGAATACCCGTTGTCTCCTTAGAGCTTTCTAATATGAGCACGGAGATAGCTTCTATTATAAGCATGTACCAATACAATGTAAGGCAGGTCATGAAGGGACATGCTGGTGATGTGTTTGGAGTCACGGCTTTTTGTTTATTTTGATACTACATTAGGTAGAGTTTTTTTTTTCATCATGGTAATTCGTGGCGTAGATGGTCCGTCACCTGGTTTCGTTTTTATCATAACTCTTTTCGAAAAGCCTAGGAAAGCTCTTCCACAACTTTGGCTTCATGTTCTCCAACTCCAACGACAGATGTTTCTCGCTGGGCAAAATTGCTGAGCCCCAAGCATTTTCCACCAACTGCTTGATATTCGCGGACGACAGCTCCCTGTCATCTCTCGCCCTTGCTCTCGCCCTCCCTGGTATATGTGCCACCGCAAGCCGCTGAATAACCGCACTTCGCACAACTTGTTGATCGATGTAGACGCCCTTTTTCCTCAACAGGGCCAAAAGACGGACGCCGCATGCTATGTCGTAGTCTGTGACTCCTTCAGGCTTGACCCTTGCAAGGGAAAGCTGAACCGGCTCCTGTTTCAGGGTCTTGTCGAAGCCCCATCGAATGATGGCACGTTGCAGATTAACATCAAAAATCTTTTGTATGGGATGTTGTCTGTTGGTAAAGGGCAAGTCGGCCGGTATGCAAAAAGTATACTTAGGATCGTTGCCTTTTTTTGAGAGGTCGTCAGACTTGGTGGCCGGTCCTGATTTGGTCGCAATTGCATTCGGTTCCTCTTCGGTCATGCCTATTTCAGCTCTCCAAAACTCTTCTCTGAAGTGGCTTATCTTCTTTTTGCCGTCCGGGAACGAGTGGTACTCGACCCATCCCCCAGTGCCACTGTTTACTGTCTTGGGTTTCGAATTAGGTTTGGACGGCACGTCGCACCGGTGCACTGGAATCAACCCTCCAAGATCTGGGCTATACAGTTCACATATCTCATGACTGAGCTCCTCAAGCTCATTGAAACGTCCAAGACGTCCAAGGTTATAGAGCAAGATTTGCCAGTATTTAATGGGAATAGCAACCCCATGCCGTGCTACTCGCAGAGATAAATGGATAGCTCTATCAAGCTGGGGATCCTGTTGATAGCCATGGAGTTTCTGTTTGCTGGTTTTTGGGTGATACCAAACACCGTCAAACACACGACTGAGAAGTACCTCTGAGTTCTTCTGTTCTATACTGACATTCAGGTTGTCCATCTTGTCGAAAACGCTCCTCACTTTCGCTAGTCCTTGCGTTGATAGGGCAGCCCGGAGATTCTTGTTGAGCTCCTCGGAGAGGGTCTTTTCTTTTCTTGGTGTTGGTTTAGCAATCAGAGCCTCGACCTCTTGGAGTAATCGCTCCCGCCTCCAATCCTGTTGTTTGGCAGAAGCAGCGAGCAACATCACTCTGGTCTCAGAATTGTCGAATTCGTCTGGATGTATATCACAGTGCAATAATTCTCTGAGCAACTCGTCCTCTCCTCTTTCAGCAAACGATATAATAGCCTTGCAATAAACTGTTGAGGAAATATCAATTCCCAGTTCCCGAAACTGTGCCAAGCGATCATTGACCCCTTGGACATCGTATTCTCTTAAAGCAACTGACTGCAATGACTGCGGACCAATTGCCCGAAGGCCAAGTTTATGCATGAGATTGATTGCAAACTCGGACGAAGTCCAAGAGCTGGCGAACCACCGGGCTGTAAACTTATCGCTGAACATACCCTGGTGCTGACTGGATTGGGTGTCATCGTTTGGTTCCGATGCAGCAGCATCGTCATCGACACTGGTATCTCGGTCAAGCACTGCTGACTCCTCTTTGGTGAGTTGCATTTTGGGAAAGTACCGGGACAAAAAGTCAAGAAATGGCATAGACTTTTGCGACACGGCATGGTCGTTAAACAAAATGAAACGCTTTCTCCAAACGCGTGCTGCATGTGACTGCCCAGAATCGAAGAGAGCTGGCACGACGTAGTCATACAGCCTGCGATAAGGGTTAAAGACGTAAATTCTTGTCAATGTGCTCTGCACAACAGGGGAGAAGTCGATAGCAAAACTTGCCAGGAAGGCACCGAAGCTGTTCAAATCTGGACGGAAAGTAGGCATGAGTTTCAAATGCCAGCGAAATGCAGCTTGGTAGTCGGTCTGGGCCATATAGAAATGAACCACTTTCAGGTATAATTCAGGCCATTCAAAATGGTGTATTCTTTGAAGCTCCTGGGCAAATGTGAAAAGCTCCTCCATCCGGTCAGCATGTGTCAGTGCTGCCTTCAAGATGCTATCGCGCAGAAATTCGGCTCGAGGTTCCGCCACAAGATGCACATTGCCTTCGTTCCGGAGCTGCTTAAAGATATCCCAAGCTCCCCGATCTCCATGACCATGACGAATCGTTACGACACGGCGCTCCAAGGAGGAAATTTCGTCCGAAAAGGTTTGCTGACTAGACGGATGTACTTCTTCAGCTCTATTCAGGCGAATACCCAAAGGAATAGGCGATTTAGTCTTCGATCGACGTTTTGAACTATCATGCTGTGCTACTCCTGGCTTCGAAAATGTTGACCCAGGACTGTCATGTTTGGCCGTATGTGCATCTACTATGTATGAATATATGCATCTCTTGTTGCTGTATAGATTCGTGACTGAAAGATTCGATGTCGCACACCGAAGTCGATTCTGTGCAATTATACGGATGTATCGAGCATGGGGGCATTGTTGAGCTCGAAATATTATAAGCGGTCGATGCATGGCTGGGTAAATTCACCAGCTTCAGCTGGGATTGTATCATCGCATCGGTTCGTATCGAAGAAGTTGTGCAGGAAACATCAGGAATACCGAAATCCGAGGTTTAAAGGCATTGACCAAAGCCAAATCATATCTCCAATCTTCGGACCATTTTTTATTCGATGTCATAAAGTGCTCCATCATTTAGGTACAGAGGAGCTGGGGTTCGCGCCTACTGACCAACGGGAACATTGAGAGCAGCGCTGAGTCATCATCACAATCGGCTCCAATCAAGTTATGGCCTCATTTCTTTACCCGAACTTCGACATTCTCCGTCACCAATTCAACCACCCCACACGAAACCAACCATCGGAGCCTCCCAGAACTCTCATTAACCGACTTCAAGATGCCGTACGTACAATTGATTCATCATCGATTCTCGCGATGATCCTGGCCGCCTTTTCGACGCCAATGGGCCACCTCGAGCTTCGGGCATCGCGCAGAACATCACATCATACGAGAATCCGTCACTGACGTTCATACAGTCTCGTCGACGCCAAGAACCCCGTTCCTCAGTACCAGCGTTACTACCAGAACGCTTACAAGAACCACACCCGTCTTTGGAAGATTGTACGACCTGATTGACTATTTAGATTCTCCGAATATACCGCTGACCGACCTGACAGGGCCCTCGCAGCCGTATGCTGATGACCCCCTACCTCATCCTCCTTTGTGGCACCCTCGGCGGTAAGTCTTATTCAACAAAGTTTTAGAGATCGACACGATTACGAGCTCGGATACTGATGGACACGAAGCTTCTTTCTACGGCGCTGGCCGCAAGGTCCTTGGATACAACTCTTACTTCGGAAACTAAGATACGTGGGCTGCCTAGCTTATTATATAGCTCGACAACGATGGAGGGCTAGTGTGATCAGTATGGAGTGAATAGAAGGAGATGAATCCAATCTGATATCCTCGCGGAATTGTCCTTTGATTTGTATACACAGAAACAAGACAAACTCCCAGTCGAACCGTGCCTTCTATTCACACGTCATTGCCATTAAACCTGGACTCCTAAACTTGAGAATACATGAAGAACCCAGAATATTGCATGCATCAAAAAATGACGTCTAGTGCTCTGCACCGACTTGCAACTCTCCATTTATGGGTAGATACATCAACTCCCACCCCAAAATGGACTTGCATTAGTAGCCTGTAGCGCCGGGCGCCTTTTCGTCCTTTCGCAGGCTCACCAATAGCTCTCGGAAGCGTTCCTTGCCCGAGCCAGAAGCACCTCCCTTGGCTCCCTTGCCGCTCACATCCACCAACTTGGCAATTCGGTCCCAGCTGGTGCCACCAGAAACAGTGTCCTCTCGGCTTTCCAGGAACTCGTCGGCTTCCTTTCGTGTTTGGGCGATACCCTTCTCCTTCTTGTTGTTGTAGTTGTCGTAGAAGTCATCGATGTTCTGCTGAGCCTCCTTAATTGTCTCTTCTCGCTGGGCAGCGAATTGTTCGGCGCGCTTGGCAATCTGGTTGTCTCGCTTTTCACGCCACTCCTTGATAACCTCGGGTTCCTGCTCCTCCTCAAAGGAGGCCTGGTATCCTGAGTTGTAGCTTACGGAAGGTCCTCCGGTAATGGCAGTTCCAGCAGAAACTCCAGTGCCCTGTATCTCAATATGAGCTTCTCAATCGAGTATACAATAAGAGACTATTTGACTTACAGCTTCAGGTTGGGTCAGGTCAGGAAATTGAGACTCGAAAGTAGATTGCTCGTTTCCGCCGGCGCCACCAAGAAGGTCATCATCGGCATCAGCGAAAGCAGCGGCGTCATTGTTGGTTGTGAACTGTTCGGCGTCGTCTCCAAGGAGAGCCTTTTCACGAGCGAGAAAATCGTCAGTCGATGGCTCAGCGGTCGGATCCTTGATGTCGGTTTGCGCTAAATTACACGTCAGCGTTGGTCCTGCGCATGAGTATTGATGATGTACATACCCCCGGAATCGAAGTCCTCAAGCGAAGGGAATCGGTCGGCCATCTTGAATGTGTAGAAAATTAAGTATCAATCGTTCAAACCAGAGTATGCGCCGCTTTGTGGGAGGAGCCGGATGATAGTAGCCGAAGTAAAAGTGCTCTTTTTCGAAATGATAATCGTCAGTAAATGCTGTTGCTATGGTCCTCCTATTCAGTAACTGCCAAGTAGGCCATCCTAGCCGATGAGGTGGATTCTGCCGGGCGGTGAGTAGCCTTGGACCCAACGTAGGTTGCTCAAGTGGGTCTATAATATGAATCAAAGCATCACAATCATGCGTCTACAAGCTATTTCCACTTTATCGGATGTTTATGCTGCTTTGTTAGCTCTCAATCTATAAACTCTCCTTGTCCTACCCAAGAAAACATTTCGTTTCATCGCACATTTTTGCTACTCATCAGTCTGGTTCTTACGGGATACATTTGCAGACGAAGCTGTTCATAACGAGATATCTGCTTTGTTCATCTGCATATAAAAAGCTGGTTAGCAAAAGTTCCGAATATTATTCCTGCAAGTAGCTGTAGTAGACGTCTCCAGAGTGATACTACAACAACGGCTGCAAACAACGCTTAGATAATACTCGCGTTACCCCAAAACTTCTCAATCTGGCATTCGATTTTATTAGTTGTCGTTCATTGTTTATATGAGCTGACGAAGAGGCCTCTATTACAAAGATGGCTTACAACGATGACTCCGTACTGGCGCGACTTTCATCGCTGAATGAGAGCCATGACAGTATCGCTACTGCTGCACAATGGATCATGTTCCATAGGTACGCGTCTCTCATTTTTCTGGTTTACAATAACGATTGACAATAGGTCGCAGGCGACATGCAGAGCGAACCGTGCAACTCTGGTTGCAGCGCCTTAAAGACTCGTCCAGCACAAAGAGACTGAGCTTGATTTATCTCGCCAACGGTATGCTTTTATCCTACTGGGAGGAAACATGACTGATCCATATTACAGAGGTGGCTCAGCAGTCCAAAATCCGGCACAAGGATGACTTCATTATTGCTTTTGCGCCTGTGATTGCCGAGGCTGCTTCCGCTGCCTACAAGGGAGCACCTGCAGAGCTTCAGGCAAAACTGAAGCGCGTTATAGATGTCTGGAGAGATCGATCGATCTTCGAAGCGCCCATTCAGGCTGCCATTGATGCTCGCATTGGGGGTAAGTACAAAATGACGAGAACTCTGTTCAAATGGCAGCGACTTATCATATAATTAGAACTTGACAAGGCCCGTGGCATGGCTAAACCTGGGTTTGCCGGTTCTCCGTTTGGTAGCGGTGGTGCCGCTTCTGCTGGTGCCGCTATTCCATCCGAGTTTGCCCCTCTTGTGTCTGCTCATCAGAATGTTGCCAAATTGAGCCCTCCTCTCAAGGCCACGATTGCATCCGCCAGCCAGGAATATGAGAAACAAACCGACCCATCGACACTTGTCCCCTCTGCTCCTGTTTACGCTGCTCGCCTGAATGGTCTCCTCAAAACGCTGGCCAACGCCGAGAATGCAGTTGCTGAGTGTGTCAAGGCCAGGGAGGGCCTTGTCTCTGGTCTAGAGACGTTGCTCAATGCCAACCGCGCCGCATTGGAACAAGAGAAATCTGATCATGCCCAGCTTGTATCCCGAAAGACGGAGATTGAAGAGAAGAAGCAACAGGTTGAGGTTGGTATCATGCGAGCGCTAGGTCCAACCGAGAACAATGGGAACTCGGGAGACGGAGAGTCTTTGAGCACCCCTGCTGAGCCAGGCAGACCAGAAATAGAGGCACTCACCCCTCCGGCCTTTGAACCTTTCGATGCGCCTACTCCTGAGGCATTGACACCGGAAGGTGAAACTGCTGTTGCTCCCGCTCCTGCTGCCGAAGAAGAGACCGCATCTTACCAGTCATTGCCGATTTCAACCAATGGTTCTAACAAGCGTCGTCGTGTCGATACTGAGGAGTTTCCTGATCTAGGAGGGGACGATGGCATTGATGCTGATGTCGCTCAGATGCTAAAAGAGGGTTCCCACTCATGATTGGAGTCTGTTTTGTTTGACAGGCTCAGTCGGTTCGAAAGGAGCTCTCTCAGAAGGGCGGATAATAGAGGTACAAGCCTCTGGAGGGTCTCTTGGGCAGAATGTATAACAGATAGCTAGGGTTACCAGTAATTGGGTACCTACTTGTACGTGTAAGAAAGGACTATGGCAACAGGGCCATGGTCATTAATCAATATCTATTCTCATGCTGTTTAAAATAGGTTATTATCACAATACTTGCAATTATTAATTGGTTTGACTGGTGTACCTCTCTCTACAGAGCTCAATTAGTTATCTGAGGCAATGCAACAGAACAAGGTACTGCGTCAAATTGTTTGGTGCTGGCTGTATTAGTGAAGCTAATCGCAGAGCTCTAACCGAGTTGGAGGGGTCTAGACTCTGTACGCACCATAACCCACTTGCTCGCGACGAATCCCCACCTAATATTTTTTTGAGCGTTGGATTATCTGAGTCTTAGCACCCGTCGCAACTCGGAAGCTGAGAAATGCCGCTACGGCGATGACGGCATTACAAACTACATCAACTTCATTCCCTTCTCATTCATAATATTAAAGCGCCTGTCAGCTTCACCAACTTCTCTAGGCACGCAGCTCAACATTCCCTCTGTCCCTCCGTTCGACATTGCCGCCACTGAACATGCTACGCTGAGTCGGCATCTAATCAATCCCCTACCGTCATCATGGTTTCGGGAGTAGCACGCCGTGTGCTGCTCCCACGTCTCGCCGAGTCCTCGCAAGTGTCTCTGGCTGCATCGCGAAGTCAATTAGGGCCTTCATTATATAAGTCCGAGGTCTCACCTCTTCAGACAAGGCTTTTCCACGCTTCTGGCTCTCGTCAACCTGCCCTGCCTCCGTTCTCAATCGCTGCCTTCCAAGCACCAGCAAACAATAATCTGTCCCATATTCGACGTCCCCCGGCACAAATTCGATCTTCCACGTATGGTCCGTTTTCGCACACCCTGCGGCAATTCTCAACAGCCCCTCGTTTACTCCAGGAAATCCAGACCAAGGTCGAAGAAGGTACCAAGAAGCCTGTCGAGCTTGAGATCAATCGAAAAGTTGAAGATGAAAACAAGCAAGAGTTTACCAAGAGCGAGAAGGCCGCCAAGGCTGCTCAAGTCAACCTAGCTGCCAAACTCTCAAAGGAGGGAAAGCAGGCTGGAAAAGCTGGTTCGGACGAAATTGTACGACTTATCAAGATTGCCCGTCCAGAAATCCGCTGGCTCGGTATCGCTTTTGTCTTCCTGGTTATTTCCTCTAGCGTCACCATGTTAATCCCCTTCTCCGTCGGTCGAATCTTGGATCTTGCTACCAAAGGTGAAGCTGAAGACGTCCGTCTGTTTGGCTTAACAATGAACCAGTTCTTCTTTGGCTTGGGTACTGTCTTGACTATCGGAGCTATGGCCAACTTCGGTCGAGTCGTCCTTCTCCGAATTGTCGGCGAGCGTGTTGTTGCCAGACTTCGATCCCAGCTTTACCGACGTACATATGTTCAAGACGCTGAATTCTTTGATGCGAACCGTGTGGGTGATCTTATCTCACGCCTCAGCTCTGATACTGTTATCGTTGGCAAGTCTGTGACGCAAAATCTCAGCGATGGTCTTCGTGCCCTCTTCAGCGGCGGTGCTGGTTTTGCTATCATGGTCTGGACAAGCCCCAAGTTGACTGGTTTATTGCTACTTATGTTTCCACCAATTGCTGTCGGAGCCTTCATCTATGGTCGAGCTATTCGAAACATCAGCAGGTCAATTCAGAGGAACTTGGGTACTCTGACCAAGATCGCTGAGGAACGACTTGGCAACGTCAAGACCAGCCAAGCGTTCGTAGGTGAAGTACAGGAAATTGGCCGCTACAACAATCAGATCCGAAAGATCTTTGCTCTTGGTAAAAAGGAATCGCTCATCGCCGCTACCTTCTTTGCTACTACTGGCTGGGCCGGCAACATGACGATCCTTGCTATGCTTGTTGTCGGAGGCGGTTTCGTGCGCAGCGGGGCTATGTCGCTTGGAGATCTGACGTCGTTCATGATGTACACTGCATTTGCAGGTTCAAGTCTATTCGGTCTTTCGGGTTTCTACTCAGAGCTCATGAAGGGAGTTGGTGCCGCAAGTCGACTTTTTGAACTACAGGATCGCAAGCCTGGAATCCCGCAAACGGTCGGTGTTCAAGTAAAATCGGCACAAGGTCCTATCAGATTCTCAGATGTCACTTTTGCCTATCCTACTCGGCCTGCCGTCAAAATCTTCAACGGTCTGGATTTCGAGATCCCTTCGGGCAGCAACGTATGTGTTGTTGGTCCATCAGGAGGTGGTAAGTCGACGGTGGCTTCTCTACTACTGAGATTTTACAATCCCGTGTCAGGCTCTATCACCATCAACGGACAAGACATCTCTGGTATGAACGTCAAGTCGTTGCGAAGGCGAATCGGCATGGTTTCACAGGAGCCTGTCCTTTTCTCTGGGACCATCGCTGAAAACATTGCCTACGGAAGGCCTCAGGCGAGCCGTTTTGACGTTATTTCTGCTGCTCGACGAGCAAACTGCAACTTTATCAGCGATCTGCCTGATGGCTTAGAGACCCAGGTCGGTGCCCGCGGTTCTCAACTTTCCGGTGGTCAGAAGCAACGAATTGCTATTGCACGAGCTCTGCTCAAGGACCCTGATATTCTGATTCTTGATGAAGCCACATCGGCACTAGATGCTGAGTCAGAAACTCTTGTTAACGAGGCTCTGGCTGGTCTTTTGCGTGGCCGTAACACCACCATCTCGATTGCCCACCGTCTCTCCACTATCAAGCGATCTGACCAGATTATTGTTCTCAATAACGAGGGCAAGGTCGCCGAAATCGGTAGCTACAGGCAGCTTGCTGCGGACAAGGATAGTGCGTTCAGCAAGCTCATGGAGTGGCAGATGAGCGGTGGTGAGGTTTCCAAGGAAAGTGGGTCAACTGCCTCACGAGCGCACATCACCGAAGCCGAAGAAATCGAGGATGATCTGGAGAGAGGTGAAGAGGAGGAGGAGCAATTCGATGAGCATGACCGAGAGAACAGGGACTCCAAGAGCGAGGAGAAGAAACCCTGAAGCATCTTGGATGATATAGAGCAGAAGAGCATCCCCGTTAAGACGTAATATGGCTGGGGTTACGGGTTGAAGAAAGATTAGACGAATCATGTACATTATATATCCTGGTATCTATGTCCGAGTCTCTATTGGAACGCCAGCTGCTGCAAAGAGAACTCCACTCGACATGTATCCTACTTTCATTGGCGTCGCTGGTTTGGTTATTTGATCTCCAAAAAATGGAATACATAGTTATGGCATGGGGGATCAACATCCATGTATAGAAAGCAGAATCTCAATATCTTAACAAAAACAATCGTGAACTTTTATCGTGAGTTTTTGATGTGTTGGGAATTTAAAGATGAAAGCAACTTCCAGGTCTGTATTATGTCCAAGATTAAGACCTCATGGTTGTAATTTTAAATAGTGAGAGCAACAAAGCTGAAAGCCTAACTTCCCAGACCCTGTGCTATGAAGCCTGCCTAGCTGGAAGTGGAAAAAGCCACAATGGCCATATTAAAGAACGGTGTATGGTTCATGGGTGCTACTGTTCCAAGATTCCACGTTTTTTTTTTACATCGCATCATGAGTATGTCCAGAAACACTTATACCGATACTGAATAGCAGAATATTATCTGTTACCATATGTTTTGGCAGCATTCATGATGACGAGGAGCGTATCGCAACGATGCAAGGAAGAGTCGATGGCTGAGCAAGCTAAGCTTTTAGTTGCGGACCTCATGGCTTGTGTTCCTATTGTCAGCCTAACACGAAATGTGGTGTCCAATAGGAGATACTGGAAAGCTGTCAAAAATGCCGACATAAAGGTAATTTCCACTTTGACCATCAGAACATGCATTTGTAGAGAGACAGCATGAACCGAATGATGTGCCAATAGAACAAGTGCAGGTTAGGCTCACCGGCAACGGTTCGTCACATGTGACCCGTTTTGACTCGAGCATGACCCCAGTAGCCAAATCTTGGTCCGTCATAACCGGTTTGCATTCTTGTATCGAAATATAGACTGCCTCGTCAAACATTAATTATTCTTGATCTGTTAAAAGTCAATAACTTACACCCAACCTCTCATCGATATCTTTTTCTTGTCTTTGGCCAAACCCGCTGAACTTGCGCATCAAATGTCGACCGAGGTTGAAGGAACCTTTGAGGTGGCAGAAGCCAGCCTCTACACCAAGACTTGGACAGTGAGTATGGATGCTCTCCAGCTGACAGAGACAACAACTGACGCAATCAATAGCCTCAAGGCCCCGTTAAAGCCCAGGTCATCCATGTTCATGGCTTCAGTGATCACATCAACTGGTACGATGACGTGTATCGAATTTTGGCCTCTAGCGGCATTCAAGTCTTTGGTTTTGACCAGAGAGGCTGGGGCCGCAGTGTCAAGCAACCTTCTGACAAAGGAAACACCGGCGCGACACCGCGCGTAATTGCTGATATTGCAGCATTCATCGAGAGCAAGTTGCCTTCTGATGTCCCGGTTTTTGTTCTGGGCCACTCGATGGGTGGCGGCGAGGTTCTCACACTTGCGGCTGATCCTCAGTACGCCAAGCTCGTCAGCCAAGTGCGCGGTTGGATTCTTGAGGCCCCTTTCATCGGATTCGCACCCGAAGAAGTCCCAAGCTGGTTCAAAATTGTAGCAGGTCGACTAGCTTGTAAGATTTTGCCGAGATTCCAGCTCAAGCATCAGCTCGACGTCATGAACTTGACACGAAAACCCGAGGTAGCAAAGGGCTTCAAGGAAGATCCTCTCTGCCATGACACAGGTACTCTGGAAGGTCTGGCGTCGCTTCTCGACCGTACGGCGGCTCTGCAATCGGGGTCTATAAAGTTAGGCAAGGAAGTAAAGTCTCTCTGGCTCGGCCACGGAGACCACGACAAGGCTTGCAGCTATGAAGCCGCCATGGAATTCGCAAAGAACCAGGACATCGATGACAAGGTGGTCAAGACGTATGTGGGAGGTTACCACGCTCTGCATGTGGACCTGTGCCAGGAGGAATATGCGAAGGATATTACTGCTTGGATCCTAGACAGGAGTACAGGAGAGAGACCAATCGAGGCGAAGCTATAATGAAGAAGCGGCAGGCGTTCCAATATCGAGCGGAATAATTTGTTTTGGCGGTTAAGATTTGTTTGAGTTGATACAAGAAATACTAGATTCATGCACCAGTTTTGGTTCCTGCTGTTGGTGTACTTACATCACTTGGTGCTATTTCATCTCAACTCCAACATTTACAAAGAACGAGGGTGGGAGCGTCCATGTTATATATACTGACAAGATAAACAATTATTAAATGTATTCGGACCCTCCGATTGTGGCTGGCTGTACTGTACATAAAACATCGCCGCTTATCTTAGTCCTATACCAAAGTGGTTACAAATTGCAAAACCAAGCCAATAGACTGATCAATAGTTCTAGTTGCAAAAGTCTTGGCCTGCATATCCCAAAGTCCAGATCAGATCTATGGAGACAAACAGTTCAAGGTCAAAAAAACAAAAAGCGGGCCTACTACGTACTGGTACTCCATGTCCGTATGCCAGCTCCGTAGACGCCCGAAAGTCAGACGTTTCCAAAACGCAAAGAGTGACGGAACGCCGAGACCTGCTCCGGCCGTTTCCTAAGCTTTTCGGGGCCGTGTTAGAACTATAATTCAACGTCTGCCGCTCGTCTTGTTCAACGTCTTCTTTCAATATCTTTTCGTGATCTTTTCCCCCAGCCTTCTGGGCTCCCCTTGTCGGACACGGAAGTCACACTCCGCTTACTAACCGTCTCGATCTCGGCTGGCACGGCGTTCGGAGACTCACTCACTAATTGTCTAACCTCTATTGGTCGAATTTCGCTGATGATTTGGGTGTTAGTTGTGCTGGACTGCAGCTCCAGCTGTTAAAGAAATGCTATGTCACCATCAATCTCGTTAGCATCTCGTCCTGAGGGGGCGAACTAAGGGTCAGCACTGACTGAGCTCCCCATTGCTCTTCCTCCACGTGCGAAAATGACTGGTTGGACCAAGACTCGATGGGTAGGCATGCAGGAAACAAGATCGGACGGATTTGATCTCTTATGATTCACCAAGCAACCGCTTTGCATTTGCATTTGCCTTGCTTGACCTTGCTCCTGTTAGTATCCTTGCTATACTACCATATCAATATCAACTCTATCTCACTGGCACCAACCCTGATCGGATACTCTACCGACTGCAGCACAGTAGTCGACTAACTTGATCTTGACTGTCTGACGATCAACTGAGATCATTGCATACAGCTAGCACTAGCAGATGCTCTTGATGAGGCACCTTCTCCGCTCCTGAGGCCTCTTTGTTGGCTTTGCTTTATTATATCTCGCTTACCACCATCCAGCATTTACACAATATCGGTATTGCACACTGACTTCTCCTATACATCCACATCGCTGTCTATATACGACACAGTCTATTGAGACATGACGCCTGATAACAGCATCCACGCCGCCCACCTGCCATCTATCGAACCCGCTCGAAGTAGCTCAAGGCACTCGACCGCACACAATGGCTCCAGCACCGCTTTTGAGCCTGCCATGGCCGATGATAATGAGACTATCGCTAGAAACGTCTCGCACATGACCGATGTCGAGAGTCAGACTACCGCCACCGGACGTCGGCAGCCCAGTCCCATTGACAATGATCCGTATGACCTCTCCCGTGGCTACAAAACAGAGTCTGATCTCGCCGATATCAAAGCCAACACGTCGCGGAAGCGGGATAGTCTCCCTGGGCGCAAATGCTTGCCCGGCAAGTTGGGCTCCAAGATCAAAGCTCGCAAGCTGCAAGGCTTCTACAAAAATCAGAATGCGGCAATCGATCGCATGCTCAAGTCGGTCGAGGAACATCGTGACGAAGCTCGCGACCAGCATGGCGAGGATCAACTCAAATTCCGTATCGCTGTTTGGGGTTCCTTGGCAGCCAACGTTGCATTGTCAGCCATTCAGCTTTTTGCTGCCATCTCGTCGGGCTCGCTTTCGCTTTTCACCACCATGGCCGACTCTGTTTTCGACCCTCTTAGTAACCTCACCCTCATCCTGTCGGCTAGAGCCATCCGCAGTGTCGATGCTCGACGTTTCCCTGCTGGCAAGGCTCGCCTTGAGACCGTAGGAAATATTGTATTCTGCTTTCTCATGATCGCTGTCTCCCTCATCATCATTGCCTTCGCATGTCAAGAGTTAGCACAGGCGAAAGCCGACAAGGACTTTCATCTTCCTGCTGTCATCTCAGTCTGCTGCGCTTTCGCCACCAAGTTCGCTCTTTTCCTCTACTGCTGGGCGCTCAAGGACAAATACAGCCAAGTAAATATCCTCTGGCAGGATCATCGTAATGATCTTCTCATCAACGGCTTTGGTATTCTTACTGCTACTGGCGGCGCGAAGCTGGTCTGGTGGATTGATCCCATGGGTGCCATTCTGCTATCACTCCTCATCTCTTGCATCTGGCTACGCACCGCTTTCGGCGAGTTCCTGCTTGTCGTTGGCATCACAGCTCCTGTTGAGACGCAGCAGCTTATCACATACGTGTGCGTCACGCACGACGATGCAATTGTTGGCATTGACACCGTTCGTGTTTATCACTCGGGTCCTCGTTTGATCGCCGAGGTGGATATTGTCATGGACCCGACACAGACTCTCCAGGAGAGTCATGACATTGCAGAGGCGCTTCAGATCAAGCTGGAGGATCTCCCTGATATTGAGCGAGCATATGTTCACATCGACTACGAGACCACTCACAAACCAGAACACGCATTTAAGAAGGACATGTAGGTCTAGGTCCGGAATGTGTTTTCAGGAGAAGTGTGAATTAGGAAGGGCGTTTTGAGCGGTTGAGAAGGGGTTTGGAGTCGGCGTTTGGCGTGAAAAACAGGGGAGATAAGACATGTACTCGGCCGGGTACACGAAGGACTATGGGATTAAGACCAGGAACCTCTTTAGGATGATTAGTGTTTGAGTCAGTAAGTGAAGACTTGAGGCAATAGTGGAAACCGCGGCTAGCTTTTTAATGACACGAATTCATTATTGCAACGATGGCCCACATTGATTAGACAAGTAGACAAGTGAAAGTGTGTGCTACATATAAATCCAGAATATAGTGTTGTTGTTGTAGGTGGGTTGAGGCCAGACACATTGAGCTAAATCATGCAGGCTTTGCAGATCCCGACACTGCAGAACTGTTGACACCTAGGGAAGACATATGTCAGAGTGAGACAAGTTCATTGGCATGGGCGGTACAGTATGCATGGCTGAAAAAAAAAAATGAAAAAATAAAGGCTCGCGTGTCTTTGTCCCGATCTAAATGTCTCGGTGGGCTCTGCCCGAGTGGCACCAAATCTGATCTGCAAGTGTAAAACATCAAATCTACGTCACAGCTTTAACTAGCACTAACTTGGCTTTTCTGGTTCAGTTTAGGGACTGGCATCCAAGTCGAGTTTTGGGAGATTGAATGTCTTTATGATACTCAAAGGGCGAAATTAGAAAGGGATCCTGAAGCGGGATTTTCTGTACAACTCAACCCAACATGTTTTTTTTTTACCAACCTAAGGGACCATAGGTTGGAATGGTTGAGATTAAGTGGACGTATTTGAGCGGCGCGTCACATTCTCGCAGCGACTTACAAGGGGGGGATATGTGACCAGTTTCGGTTGTATGCAGAAGCACGCTGGCGAACTTAACCCTGGATGGTTGAATGATACGAACATCATATGCAGGGTGCGTACCATAGTTTGTGGATATGAGTTGTGAAGTGATGTTGGTGTTTTGAAGCTTAAGAACCATGACAAGAACCTTATAAAACTCCATCATTGTGCAGCCGTTGAAATTAGTGGCGGTTTACTAGGATGGAAAACCCACTCCGATTTATGATCTACCTATGTTCATAGACCACGTACGTAGTACCCAGGCCCAAGGGAACACCAAAACGGTCTCGAATTTTATACGATTCAGAGCCATGAGTCAACCCCTCAATCTCTTTTTTGGTCTGGTCTGTCAACGTGGGGGGAAAGAATTGAGTGTCTTGGGACGGCAAGAGTAGAGACGTCGGTGTTTCTAGAATATGAGAGTTCCTCAGGGTCATTGTGGCTTGAGATAGTTAGAGTTTAGTACCTGAAGGGTCGGGTCGGTCTGTCTGGACTCATTGAGTTCTTTTCTGATAGAACAAGAAGTTGGGTTAGGTATAATCCATGCTATCTCTCAGTGGGTGTCCCCACAGGAGCTTACCTGGGGGGCAGCAGCCCAAGCTCCAGTGCTCCTGTGCTCCATTGCGCTCTGACCTATAGTGAGTTAGTTCACTGGAGCTCTATGGAGCTGAAGCTGGACTGGGAAGTTCCCCCCTCCAGATTGCCCGGGGTCCATGGATCCCATCATCGGATCATCACATACACTCACTGGATGTGGATGGAACACCTGCCCATTCTCTTTCTATTTCTCCCATCCCCATCACGTCACGCCTCCTCGCTTGCCCTTCGCTTCTCTCTTTGTCCCCCTCTTCAACTTCCTTCTCCAACTCTGCTCCTCATCAACCAGACTCTAAACCCGAGAGCTTTGGGCATCACTGTTGATTCTTGCACCGTTTCAAACAAGCATAGACCAACGATTGTCCGTGCTAATCTTTAGCGTCTACCGGGCACCCTTGCTGAATCGACCTTGTTTTCCCTTGTTGGTCTGGGCTCCTCGACACGCTTCTCAAATCGTGATCTTTGAACTCCTCCTCTATATCTTCTTTCCATGAGCTGCTGACCGACCTCTTCAACCTGCTGTAAATAACCTGGACAATCTGCGTCGAGGTTCTTTTCTTAGCTGGTCAACTACTCCTGCTTCTACACCATCATGGCTGCTCAAGCTACCAAAGGCGAGCAGATCTATGCTACGGTTCGTTTCTTTCTGCATTAATTATGCTCTAATTCATCTTGCTAACGATCGATAGCTTCTTCTGAGCGATTCATATCTTCCTGGTTCGTCAATTGACTTTTGGCTTTGCCTCAAAGCCTTACTGACTCTTCCCCAGGCGCACTCGTCCTCGCTCACTCTCTTCGCGATGCCGGAGCCACTCGCAAGTTGGCAGTCTTGGTTACACTCGATTCTGTATCGGAAGAGTCCATTACACAACTCAAGGTAGGATGCCACATGCTTTGCACCTTCGAATCCATTTTACTAACCATTTCACTAACAGGAGGTCTACGACTATGTCTTCCCTGTTCCACGCATTCGCAATGACCACCCAGCCAACCTGTACCTGATGAACCGTAGCGATCTTCACTCAGCCTTTACCAAGATCAACCTTTGGAAACTCACCCATTTCTCCAAAATCGTCTACATTGACGCTGATGTCGTCGCATACCGAGCTCCTGAAGAGCTTTTCGACATATCTCACCCCTTTGCTGCGGCTCCAGATATTGGTTGGCCAGATCTGTTCAACACTGGTGTAATGGTTTTGGATCCCAACATGGGAGACTTCTATGCTATGACTGCCATGGCTGAGAGGGGCATCTCTTTTGACGGTGCCGATCAGGGCCTGATCAACATGCACTTTGGCCAACAATACCATCGCTTGAGCTTCACCTACAACGTCACGCCATCTGCACATTACCAGTACGTCCCCGCCTACCGACACTTTCAGTCCAGTATCAACATGGTTCACTTCATTGGCGCAAACAAACCGTGGTTTACCGGCCGAGACGCACCCTCCGGCAGTGGCCCCTTTAGCGAAATGATAGGACGATGGTGGGCTGTCTACGACAGACACTATCGACACCAGGTAAGTTCGCCATGTCGACCGGAAACATTAATTCTCTAACTCGCTACACAGGAATCCGATTCCGCCACCCAGTATGTTCAATACTTTACCAAGGGAGAATGGCGTCCCCAGTCAGTTCAAGAGCAACCTACTTCCGATGAACAACACCAACCTGATGATCACAGCTCGACTTCCACCGAACAACAACAACATGGTGAGCAGCAAGTCGAAGATCATCAGCAACAAGACGAAAAATCTCATGACGAACTTCCAGGCTCCAGTACAACTCACGACGAACACCGCCGACCCCAGGGAATCATGATGCATGATTGGGATGCTCAAAGGTAGGTCTATCATCAAATGAGTTTTATGTTTTCCCGTGAACACGAGACACTGACCTTACTAGATACCCCCCTCCCTCCGGTTCGAAGCCCGAAGCGATGAACTTCCCTCTCACTCATTATGAAATGTCCCGTGACACTGCACCGTTTGTTCCTCCCCAGCGTTACCCGAGTCCACCAAAGAACATGTGGTACGAAGTACCAAAGGAGAGGCCGGGTTCCCGGTCAAAGGCTGCTCCGGAGATCTTTCCCTGGGAACGAAATCAACCTCGACCCACGAGAACTTTTGCAGGAGAGCCTGAGCCAGAACCAGAACCAAGTCCTGAAGAGTCTGGTACACAACTGTCGGTAAAAACTGAAGGCCTTACAGAATCCGGATCCGAAACAAAGACCCAATCTACCGCATCTACCCCTACAGTACAGGTTACGCCATCCAACCCTTGGACGTCTTACACACGCACAAATGCTTGGGACGAAGTGCCTGCTATCGAACGGTATGTTGACCGTCTACACGGCGGCGGTCATCGACGTGGTAAGAGTTCGACCTCCTCAACAGGTCGCGTAAAAAGCCCGACAACCGGTGCGTGGCAGGATGACCAGAGCAGTTCCAAGCTGCGAGGTCTGAAGCTCACCGATTTTCCCAGTGCTGTAGAACGCCCTAGCTTGCCAGTTACTCCGGCCCCGGTCCACCGAAATTCCTTCTTTGCAGATGACGACGCCGAAAATGAAGACGAAACAACGAAAAAGCTTCCTGAAGCCGAAGGCGTTCCGACGCAGTCCGACTGGGTATGTGTGCATGGAAGACGTTGGGGACCTACAGACTGCCTGTGCGAGGTGACTGACTTGATCCTACAACACCAGGATCCGATCGAACAACTCCAGAAATTGGCCAAGCAGCAATCGGATGTATTGCTTAAGAGATTGGGTAGTGATCAAGAAGTAGGAGGAGTGAGTCGCGAGATACCAACACGCCCGTTGCCCTTTGGTTCGGGAGATGGAAAGTCACCTACTTATGTTGCGTCATCCGCCTCAGGTGTGTTAAGCCCACAGCCGATGAAAGGCGAAAGATCAGCAGGCATTTTGCGCGATATGAGCAGTGGCCGTCTCGACCCCGAGTCAACTTTAACCTCGCAACCGTCAACGATACCCCAACCCAGTTACTCCGGACCCGGCGCCGCATGGGAGAAGGGCGAAGATACACCGCAGTACGAAACGCCCTTACCGCCTAAGGAAGATGAATTGGATGCCCTTAACGCCTAGGAAACAACCGGACGTCCCTCAACAACCTCTCCCGAGTGGTCAAAAGGTGTCGGATCTTTTATCATTGTTCCATTGCAAGATGGAAGAGTTAAGAAGGAATGATTAATGTGTTGCTGGTTTTATGGGTATCAACGGACGTGGTAATAAAAACAGGTATAATGGGGGTTCTTGGGTATTCGGCACGGGCACAGGTTTACTATTTGCTTTCTGTTTCTTTTTGCCCCCTTTTTCAACATTGTCAACCAGCTTCGAGGTTTCTCGGCAACTGATGCTAAGGGAAAGGAAAGGTGCATTTTTGTTGGAATATGAACATTATGGCAGCGTCTATAGGCGTCATCAAAAAGAGTAGGAGAAGTATTCCCCTGGACATTTGGTTTCGACTCATCTGCTCTGTTTAGTACCTGCATCATTCATGTTGTTCTTCGTTCATATTTGCTACGCGTGTATTTATTGATGTTGCATGGTTCTTTGTTCGGTTTCACTCGCGGTTCCTGTCTGCCACTGATTTCGTTCGTCATGGGACGGTGTTTTTGGGTCGTCGGTATTGATATAACTACGGATCGCACCACTAGCTTACACATCAAGTGTTCGTTTGAGTGTAAAATGTTTGTTTTAATAATTTTGTATTTCATGGTCCAACTATGCTATGTTGCGTCCTGGAGCAGATCGAGTAATAATACACAACTCCTTTAAACGCCATGTCGCTATCTTCAGAAAAAACAAATGCTGCCCTGCTCTTCACTGAGCCGATCAAAGTGAGCGGGTATATGATACCTGTGTGTATAAAAGTAAAGCTCGAAAAAATAGGCAAATATCATATTCTGGTTACGGTCAATCCTCCTTTGTAGTCTCCTTGTCCTCCTCATCCTCAACGTCCTCCACAGTCACCGCTTTGGCCTTGCCTTTCGAGGAGCTACTTTCCGGCTCTTCATCATCTTCACTATGCGATGGCGAAGATCCTTGTGGCGTATGTTCAGCTGCTGGACTTGACTGAGGTATGACCTCTGCAGGAGCAGACTGGCTTGAGTTTGCCTCTCTCTGTAACTCGCTCCGAGGCCCATGTTCATTCTGATCCAGACGAGAATTGCTACCAAATAGTTGGGCTGATCCTCCCCAGTTGGGCAAGCGAGGACTAGGCGCAACGACCTGAGGCGGATCAACGGCGCGCGTGAGCTGCGTTGGGAACTGAAGGGAGCGTTGCTCAGTAGAAGTAGGAACAGATACATTCTCGGCTGGTTGGGTTTCTTGGTTCCGGCTGCCGATTGGAGACGGTTGTCTGGCAGCGAATGGAGATTGAGCCACACTGATATTATCTGACATCGCAGCTTGAGGGCCTACTTGCGGCGAGTGCTGCGTTGAAGCTTGGCTACCATCGAGACGCTGTAGGGGCAATAAAGACCAACCAGGTGGAATCACGACTCCTTCAGGGAGTTCAGAACTGCCAGAGGGTATGTGTACCGCGTTAGGGGGAGCACCATGCCGAGCCATCAGGGGACTTGGGTTCCGTGGAGGGATACCAGGGAATTGCGGGAAGTTTGTGGGCATAGGCATCTGCATCTGCATCTGTAGTGGCATAGGAAAAGGCTGATGCAACAGGGGTTGAGCCAGTGGAAGAATGGGAGGTAGTATCGGGTGTGTCTGGGGGTTTTGTGCCTGGTCTGGGTTTTGATGTCTCTGTCTAAGGCGTTGTAACTCTGCTTGAAGAAGCTGAAGAGTTTGTACCTCTTGATGAGCCATCAGAGCTGATTGTAGTTCGCGTTGGATCAACTGATCTGCCTGGAGTAGCAGATTTCCAGCGTTCTGTAAGTTGTCGCCAGTGGGAAGAGGAGTCGCCGGGGCAGTCTGGCCAGTAACAGTAGGCGTACCGACACCAGGAGTAGGAGGGGCTGGTCCTTGTTGGTTAGGAGCTGCTTGAGGCATACCGAATTGCTGCGCAAGTTCTCTAACTTGCTGCCCATTGGCTCCGAAGCCAACACGGAAAGGGCCGAGGTTGAAAACTCGTGGCGGAGCTGGTCGTTGTTCGGGTTGGGCACCTCCATTCTGCTGTCCCGGAGGAAAACCCCCACCAAAGGGGTTTTCCGGCTGTTGCCGTTCCGCAGGGCGTCCGCCCCTTCCTATCTGTATTCCAAGTCCAGCAGCCTGATTTTGAGCGGCGCGAGTGTTCTCGTTGAGCGTAACAGGGCTACGACAGGTGGGGCATACTTGCTGCCTTTCGAGCCAGCTCTTGAGGCAGCCAAGATGCAAAATATGTCCACAGGGTAACTTTTTTGGTCGAATTCTGTCCATAGCTCCTGGGTTGTTCTCAGGATCCCAGGGTCGCATTTCTTCACGGCAGATGATACAGGTATCCTCTCGTGTAAGCTCTTCCTGGGTAGCATCGGGATAGCGGTTCATCTCTTGGATAGCCTTTCGATATCTCAGCAAGGCGCTCAGTCTCTTTATGAAGTCGCGTGCCGTCATGAAGAGGTCTCTCATTATGTGAATCGGTAATCCATAGAATGTAAGGAGCATGAAGAAGAAGACGATATATATGCCAAGCTTGACCAAATCTAACGATGTCAGTGATGTTTGCTCCATGTCAGGGGTCCAGCTTACCAGTCGCAAGGTCAAGCCAAAGAACAAATTCTCCTTTAGCAGACCAACCCGGCACTTCGATGTCCATTTCATCAATGTCGTCCTCGTTCGGAAGAGGGTCATTGGAGACTTCTTCGCCTGCAGCTGCAGCTGCTTCACGCTGTCGTACGATAGCCTCTCGCTCCTCTCTGACTTCCTGTCTCCTTTCAGCGAGTCGCTTACGCTTCTGCTGCTCCTGAATATTGTGCTCCGTCAACGACAGCGCATATCGGGCTGCTGTCCGCCATGAACTCGTCGCTAACACCGCGAACTCAAAGAGGAACATAACCATCATGTTAGGCCTCGCTTGTTGTATAACCGTATTGATCGTGTATCGGAGGATGTAGATGTCGTAGATGAAGCTGAGGGTGAGTGACACGCTAAGTCGCAAATGAAACAGGCGTGGGTTCGCAGGCGGCTGTTGCTCAAGAACCTCGACTCGTCCATCACCAATCCATCCCCAAACTTTACCAGTTATTAAAGCAGCGAACATTACGAGAAACCAAGCGCCTATTTCTTCCCGGAAGATGGTCATGGCCAGGCATGTTTCCGTGATGGCGAACCAGGCACGCTCTGTGAGTTGCTCGACTTCGACAGCACGGAGGGGTCCATAGAACAATCGTGTTAAGCTGTAGATAAAGCTACTGTAGGAGAGTAGCGCAAAGTTGACCAAGACCTACATATCATGAGTCCTGTATCAAAGGAGGGGAGCATCGATCTCGGGATCGCGGAACCACTTACCAATAAGCAAAAGTTACTCTGAGCGAGATATACCATTGCCGAATAAAAGTTGGCCCGTTGATAGAAAGCTGAGAGCACAACGGTACCCGCAAGGGCCGTCGAGGCCTGTGAATCGAATTGTCAGCATTGGTCCATGATGATCAGCCATAGCTCCATATAGCTTCCCCAAGCTCTCCAACCAAAGCAATACTTACCCCAGCATACCAGCCAAGTCGCATCTTGGGCATGGGAGTTTTGGACGGACGTTGAGCAAATAATTCAACTCGTTATCAAATTTGACAAAAGTAAACGATCACTCCCTCATCCCCATAGTTCAACCTGGATAACCTTTGATGAATGTGTGTAGTAGTAGTAGTACTTGCAGTCACTGCTATCAGTGAAAGCGAGCTTGATGCCACGTTAAGGACAGCGACATACGACCGATGACGCAGGGGCCGATGCACGTGATCGTGTTCTGACATGAGGAAAGCTGAGTCATCGGAAAATCATCGTGAAGCCAGCTACCCTAAAGCCAAACTCACAGAGTATCAGCTTAGTGAGAGATGGGCACATCACTTAATCATACTGGAAGCTGATTCTGCCATCTTCTACCTTTCACTCTCAATCACTTGTTTTGAAAGGCTATTCAAGTTATGGCAGTGGTAACCCCCATCCTTACACCAGCATTCCTGACCGCGATCCGCAAACAACCCAATCTACCACGAAATACGTGGTATTTCATCACGGCAACAACCCTGTCAGCACTCAATAGGCCAGACGAGCTACCAAGAGTATTTAAAAGTGCATTTGAAGAAGGTTCGGGCGTTAGTGGGGACAGTGCATCGACTCATGATGAGAAGTTGCGCATCTCCAGACGTCTGAGGGAAGCCCTATTGAAAGCGTCAGCTGTAGGGGGTATGCCAAAGGTTTGATAGTACATGTCACGGATACAAGACCTTGAACTCTAACCAGTTTGCTAGACAATCAATGCTCTGTTGTCTCTGAAGTCGGCAACGCCAGAGGATCTCCTCGATGAAGCGGGAACTGGAACTAACGCAGCATCACCCAGATATAAGGACGTATATGACACTCAACCAGCCCAGGTACTTCAAAGAGGGCAAAGCTTCTTCGAAAGCATATATGGAAAGATATCAAGACGTATAATGGGTCAACTAGAGCGATCAGGTGCACCAGACTTGGGTCTGCTGGCAAGGTTGACATATGGCTACGTGCTCAGTAACACTGATGTACTTACACCAGCCGAGACCTCATTCGTCCTTATTGCCAGCCTTATTCCACAGGATGTGAGTAAAGTTTCCCTTAGACTGCTTGGCTGCATGCAAGTCAACTTCCGATATTGATATCAAAATTTCAAGGTCAACCCTCAACTCAAAGGACACTTGCGAGGTGCGCTGAATGGAGGCGCCAGTGAAGATGAAGTGAGGGCCGTCAGGGACGTAGTGATTAAGATATGTGAAGCTTCAGGTATGAAGAAACTTGAAGACAATGCCATTGGAGGATGGGGTTGGAGGAATGAAGTTGCAAATGTATAATTGGTACTGGATCTGGTCTTACCCTAGACCGTCTGATAGTATTTACAACTTGGCACATAGCAACGCACTTGGTTGACCACTGTCAGCACCCAAATCAATACATTCTATACATAACAGTTCGTCAAGCCTAATTGTAATGAGTGCGATTTTGAGCGACACATCTCGACAGTCCTGCCTGCCTAAAACGTTACAAGCTTGACATTTCGAGATGCATCAGTTGCCTATCTAGTTTCTCCGCCTTCTTCTGCCGGTCACTTTTATGCGACTAATAAAACTCCGCAAACTAAAATATCGTTTCATGTCCAAACGGCGTCTAGTCTTCGCCTGATTCGGCCTCTGTTCGTCTTAGCGGAGTGAGAGGGGAAGCGAGGTTGAAATGCGGAAAGGATTCCGCGTTTAGGCGAGCGTTGTATCTCAGAACCAGCAAAGGGAGCCAAAGCCAAGTCGCAATCCGTTGTCACGCGCCAGACGCAAGGGTTACAAGCCGCCCGGGCCCCTAAAGAATGGCTTGTCTTGCGAACCAGGGCCAAGGGTCGAGAAGAGAGACAGAAACCTACCGGGGTGTTGTATCCGTGGCCCCGGAGGGTGCATGGTTGAAAACGCCAGTGCCAATGCCGCTCTACTACCCGCAGGTTTCGAAGCAATCGAGGCCAGCAAGTACCTAATTTGGGCACGCCACAGTTTACTGATCTGCTACTGCTAAAATCTGGTTCGCTGCGATGCATCACAGATCAATACCGAAGGTCCAAAGGAGCTTCCCGTGGCCAAAAGGTAAAATGCTACAACCTTTCCCCTAGCCTGGCCTGGTCTGGCCTGGGGCTTAATCACCTGAGACATTGCCTGCTCTAAAGTCTAGACGTTGTAACGGCGTCTAGGGCACAGTATTGTGCTCGCCACGTCAGAGTGATTGAAAGTCCGAGATAAGGTGAACCCATAGCATAGCATGTTCCGAGTTAAATCACACTTGGACAACTACCCCGCGGGTCGAGAAGCAAGCGCGAGATCCCGACTGATGGTGTACTTCCGAATTCGCAGCATGCTATGTTAGCCTCCGCCCGATGGTTATCACGACGGATACTCGTCTCATTCCTGAAGCAAGCGAGGGCTTCCTAGTCAAACTCTCCGTTAACCATGTACAGCATTGTTATCCACAGACCCCATTTTCAATGTAGATCTGATTGTGCGGAAAGCTCCTGATCGATAGACGGAACAGAGCCGTAGCCCGAAACCCATGTCAATCAGATCAGGACAAGGCTCCCCTTGCGTCATGTCGAAACTGGATAGGCAGACTGGTCGGAATTGGCTCGTCTTGTGGTGAAAGGGAAAGCCTAGCCGTGGGGTTCATGTCTTATATCGGTACTCGATAGACAACTCAACCAGTTTGTAGTGCGACACTGCGGGCTTGGGTTACATTTGCTGCTTTTCTGGGTCGATTTAACGCCAACATTGCTCTGGATCTAGCAATCACACCCTCTCCTGCGAAGACCATTCTGGGTCGCACGGGGCGAGATTGGTGATCTGGCAAGCAAAAAAGGCAACCGGAACACCCACAATTCGAGGCACAAGGCATGCCATTCGACCGGGGAGAGTTGGAAAAGGTCACATCCAAGTTGAATTGCAGGAAAGGAAAGGCTAGGATAAACTTGTATGTATGTGTGTATAGTAGGTACTATGCTCTGAGCCAAACATAGATCCTCGACATGCAGCAACAATCTCGGATGCATGACACTCCGAGGCAAGCAGTCACACACATATTGGTTTGTCTCTTATTTGGGTTGGTCTTGTACAACCAATTGCTGGGAACGGCCGACTTTTGCAAGCTCCAGGGTCAGAGTAACGTCAATCAATCTCATGATGAGTTGAATATGGAGACACTGAATCCTTCCGAAAGTCGTCGGAGCTTGTCACGACAGGACAGGACAGGGCAGGGCCAGGGGTTTGTCGGGCATCTTGTTTCTTCTTTTTGCTTTTTCCATTATCCCACTCTGTTCCCGGGCCAGTCAATAAGCCCTGTCAATGTCAATCGCGACGACTCACACACGTGGCCAAGATCCTCGAGGGCCGCAAGCCGCAAAGAGGGGCCGATGAGTCTCAATCAAGCCTGTTGATGCGACTTTTTGAACAGGGGGGCGGCTCTGAGGCGGCAAGGCGCGCATCAATCCATTGTGTCGGGTCCCCTCACTCAATTAAGTTCAAGGTTGCTACCGTTATCACTCAATGCATGTAGTTACATACAGTATCGGAGCCTCTCGTCGATATGATCATGTGAATCGCCAGGAACGTATTGAGATTATCCCCTCGAAGAACTTCCCAGCGTAGGGGTGCGTCGCAATCAGATAGGGTTTCCAGCTCCCAATTTCCAGCTACTGTCCTATGCACCTGTACCGAACACCCGCATGGTACTGGAACCAACATTGAGGCATTCTGGTAACTAGTGCTGTATTAATTTGACAGTTAATTGATATCACAGTTATGCTGTACAACTGCAACTAAAAGGTATAGCTTCGCACAGTATGTTCATGGAACCGAATAGTCGGATCGTTGATTCAAAAGACTGCATCAATAGCTCGTCTAGCTCAATAAGCCAGTCCGACAGTCTGGATCGTGGCTGAATGGCGCCCAGGCCGCCAGCGTCAAGTGCCGTCCTCAAAATCTAATATGCAGACATCGATGAAGGAGGGCAATTGCAATAGACTTCTATCAAATAGGCCAATTTTATTTTCCGAACCCAAACACCACGTTAGACATCAGTGTACTGCATCTAGACCGCGCTCCGAAGGGAATTTCAGCGTCAACGGCGGCTCCTGATAATTATCTTGATCCCGTAGGCACTGAAATTACAGATACCCTTCTTCCTTTTAAAATTCCCGTGTTCTAGGCCGCGATCGAGTTACCAACGGGTTATTAGCAGGCTTGGTCTGGTCGTTAGACTGGTGGCGCTCGCACACTCGCGTAAGGCTACTACAGTTGGAACTGGACTACCGTAAACTCTTGAGCCTACAAGGCTGCCCCCTGAATAAAAATCGCCCAGACCACTGCTAGTCTACCAGCCAAGAAGGAAAGGCTTGAACGGTTCAAGCTCTGGCTGTGCGTGTTTGTTTCAACGGACACTAAACCCCCACACCAGCTATGTAGACTAGCAGAGTTTACTCTCGCGTTGTCGTCGTCACGAAAGATGTTTCTCTGTGCCGGAAGGGGACTTTGTCGCCAAAGGACAGAAGGTTGGGCTCTGAGTGGACTCCTGTTGTCCACATGCATCTTAATGGAGTTTCTGTTGGGAAGTGCGACGTTCTGTAGGACAATGCAGGGGAGTGAAGAAGCAATGTCAATCAATCTCGATGATGATGATGGACCTTGGAAGCCCCAGAACAACTGCTCCATGACGTTGTGGACGATTCATCGTCGAATCTCGGGAGACTGGTAGTCTGTGGTGCTTTATCATGATACGATGATGAGAGTGGATATGTGTGTGATACCATAGACCACCATGGCTGCCCATTAAACGCCATGAAGACCCATTACAGTGTGATTGTATGTGATCGACAGAGCACGGCCTAGATTCCTGGCCCGTAGAGTACGGTAGCCTTGTTGACCCGAGGGCTACAGTTGACCTGTTCTGCTAGAGTGTCGGAGAGTCTGATGTTCCCGAGATCAAGCATTGATCAGCGTCAGTGTCCTCGGCTCAAGGGTTTGTGCGACATTGTGGACTCTTGTGAGAACCAGGCAAATTTCCCGAATACAGTATTTCGTAAATGAGGACTTGTTGATTGATGGAAATTACTTAAAACTTCATTAGTCAAATGGACAAGGATTGAATCGGTGCTGAGACTCGACTCTACAATACGAACAATGCGAAAGATAGATGACGAGGTACTTCGTACATGTGTATGATATGTATTATAATGATTGGAGAGGAAAAGATCAACGTTCAATGCTGCCGCTAAAACATATGCTGGTGTCTGTATTCGAACTGGGTCACTCGTGTAAGCACAGCGAGGGTGCTTCTCAGGGTTGAAACGCATAGAGCAGGTTGAGCATACATCCAAAACGACAATAGCCCGAAAACTAATATCCGCGATGTTGAGATTACTGTATTCGTACATTATCGTAGCATCTTGACAAGCGTTGATGAGGTTGGCTATGCAGCATTTGGTGTATTGGCTGTCCGGTGGGAGTCAAGCAACCAATAATCAGGCTGGGCCATCTTTGGTGTTATGATGCAAGCAACCAAGTCAAAGCCGACTCTGAATAGAGGACTCGTGATAAACGGACTCACCAAAAAAGGACACAGCGGAGCGCAGAGCACGGAAATGGCGGCGGAATGACAGTGAGATTTGGTGGATGGTGGTTTCTTCGCATCGGTGAAGCCGAGAGAGCTTGGCAACTCTATCGACTTAGTAGCATCGCAAGAGCCAATTAGAGATTTGTAAGAAGCCAGGGGTTAACGGTCAGAGAACAGACTCAGAGAGCTTGGGTCGGCCGACCGCTGGAATGTGCGTCGGGTACCCATGTGGACAAGCGCGGGTCTCTGAACCGAGGATTTGATTCAGAACAGACCAGACAGCCAGGGCCCAAGGAAGGGAGCTCCATAGGTAGCTAGCATCTCTATCCATGAATTATTGACACCTCACGCCTTTTTTTTTTTTTTGCTTTTCTCTCTCCTCATCTTGACTTTGCAAGCGCTGTTTTGCGTTTTACTCCGCAACTTTGAAAACACATTCATGCCGCCCGCCTTTTTGATCTGACACAAGGCACTTGTTTTGGTAAGAAACCCCGGTTTTGTTATAGCTGAGGAATGTGGATTGGCTGCGTAGAGTAGAGAGCTCCGAGAAGAAACCAAACAAACAAATAATCGTACTGTTGTGCTGTGCTGTGCCGTGCTGGCTGACGAGATATGATTGATGCATTCGTTAAGCAACACAAGTTTGAAGTTATCGTCACTGTCATCGTCATCGTATTGTCGTTGTCATTGAGATGGGTGGTTATAAGCGGCCCCGGCCATCCCAGGATTGTAGGCGGTGATGGCGGTGATGCTACGATGAATGGCTACGGCCTCGCGAGACATAGTGAGCGCAGAGCCATTCAGAGGTAGCATCACGAAAGGCTACTGGTGCATTCGCGGTCGTTGCCAATCTGGGCGTCTCGAGGCAGGAATTGTATGGATGCGAGACAAGGCAAGGTAGCAAGAGGGTGGGTTAGATAGAGTGCGGCTTGGCATCTGGGATTCAGAGTCAGAAACTCTTGCGCTGGCCGTCGGGTTGAGTCTTGCCTTTACAGGGGAGTCAGTCAGACTGCAAGGAGAGTTCCATCTCTGACGGGGGACGCAGATCGCACAGCAGGCACTGTCCTTGTTGGATGTGCCTGTGCTCAGCCCTACGCGCCAGCCTGGTCCCAGAGATTGGAGGAGCTCGGCTTTTAGTGCTGCTACCTTGCTTATTATTAGCGTCATTATCTTAGCCACACCCTCCCTCGTTTCGATATGGTAGCGTAGCGTTGCCGGCGGGGCTTCCCGCCAGTGAGGAACACACCCCACTAGGGATGGGTAGCCGTGAAACCAGTACATCGCTGTGTAGAAAATATCACCAACCGCGTTGAAGTCAAAGGTAATTCCAACGAACAAGCAGGGAAAGGCTCTTGTATGGCGCCTTTGTATCACATGAATTTGGTTGTTGAGGTAATTGGGGATAGAATGATCTTGATTGTTCTGCAATATTTGTGTGTTGTAGCTACCCATTTCGCAGGTACACTGTGTACTGTTAGATTACGTTTGGTTAGTCGATACCGTCCACAGGTAGTGCTGTAATCTCGCTCTACGGCATGAATAAATTCCATCGTGAGCCGAACTTGGTATCCATAGTCTGTTTTCAATTAGCAATATTTTCCTTTCTCAACTGCCGGCATTGAAATGGCGCCACTTGGTACCGTTTTGTGTAGAAGGTGTAGTCTTTGACGGCCTAGAACCGCCAGGGTGTATAATGATTGAACCCATGCATGTAAGTATCAGACACGACCGTAAAATGATGAAGTAGAGGATAGATTGTTAGGGAAAAGAAAGTAAAACATGCCGTCGGTCTCGAATACCTACCTACCTACATGATCGATGTACGGTTAATTAACGCCAAGGCGGACCTGCTGCTTGGTGATTGATGGTGGTGGTGATGATGGTGATGATCAAGGGTCTTCTCCACTTTGATACAAGCCTTTTTTCAATTAAAGCAGGGGTCAGGAGGAGGTGGCAGCTGCCCTGACTGAACGGGAATAGCCGCTCCCTGTGGCTCTGTGACTGGCTGTCTCCTTCCCGAAAGCGAGCGAGCAAGCGTCGTTTAGATGGACAAATGAAGAGTGCGGAAAGGCGCGAGCGGAATTCGCGCCTATCTGGCAACAGGAGTGGCCGATTCATCTTTTTTCCTTCCTTCTCGTACCATCAGACAGAAAAAGGAAAAGAAAGAAAAAGCACAAACCACCTGCCGTTTAACGGCGCGACTCAGACATCCGAAGCCATGCAGAACAGCAGTCTGAAATGTCAAACAGCATTGTTATCAGAGCGGCCGCCGCTGCACGGTCTTTAGACAAGGCGGAATGAATCAAATACAGGGACCTCGTCTACATACTGTGGAGTGGACGAAATAGTTAATTTGTGGCTGGCTGCGACAGACAGTCTGAGGTTGTCATGGTGTTGAATCCAGCATAACTCAATCAAGTAGCCTAGTATGCTGCACCTACTTGTGCCGTCTCACTGCCTTATTGACTGTACAACTCTCAACGGAAGGTTACTTTCGTATGCATCGCCAATACCATCAGCAGCTTGCTCGTCACATGTCGAGACTATTGGCAAGCTTAGCTTTGGTCATCAACTCTAATAGTATGCGATACCAGAAATTAGTCTACATGCTACAGAAGAAAGAAACTCGATAGGGCTGAGTACTCAACACCCCAGTGCCACGTCGTGATGGCTGTGTGCATTAATGTACATATGGTACTATAGGTTTAATGCATATATATAGAGGTACATGAGTAGAGCTGCGCATAACCGATACGGCAAACGCTCAATGGGTAGCCCCCGTCATTGGTTCTCAGAGGTAGGTAGCGGTCAAGGAAACCCTAACAAGGTCTCATCCGGGAACCCCTCGTCTGCATGTGAGTGGTTGATTGGAGTGCCGGATTGCTGGAATACAACACAGCACAGCATATATACTAGGTACGGCAATGTTACTCGGTTTTGGCCGATGCAGGCTGACGAAGGGTCATCCAGTCAGCCACTGAACCGGCCAGTGGGAAATGATTCACCTCAAGGATAAGGAATGAGGGAGGGAAGCAAGTGGATGCGGAAGCAGAAGCAGATGTGGATGACATCGCTGGAGGAGCAAGAAACAAAGCAAAATACGATATGTAACAAGACCAAATTGCCGGTCCTGTCCGGTTCAGGGGGCAGAGTTGGAGCGGAATGGAATAAAATGGGACAAGACTTTACTCTGTAGGATCTGCTGCATCGGAGTATCATGTTTACTTTTCGTGGTCCAATCACCTACCCCTGTCAATATTCATCAACATCTTCCACTTCTCTACTACGTACCTGCCTCGAAAGCATGAACATGTTCAATAGAGGTTGGCCACAATAATAGATGCCCGACTCTTTGCTTCTTTCCCCTCCGAAACTTGGGCGCTGTTCTGGATCATCATATTTTGCTTCGTTGTCTCGTCTATAGAATCTCTGTTATGCATCTTTGATCGTTCCGGTGCGCTGGGTAGACAGGTCTGGGCTAATCAACCGTGCCACATCAAAGCAAGGGTCGAGGATAAACTAGTGTCAGAATTCAACGGGAAGGATGACAAGGTGAGCGTGTTACTACGGAGAATGCTGACTGGAAGTCATGTTCAATATCTGTAATTTCCAGCATGACCGCAATGCTCTCAAGAAGAAAAAGCAGGTCGCCGCCAACACGAGATTCGTTGGTAAGCAAGAAAGCAAGCATATGTTATGCTTAATGTAATACAACGTAACAGCAGGTCTGTGTTGACGGCGAAGCTTGACTCAGAATTCGTCTGAATAACAATCACTATCATGCTGCATCAAGTATCCTATCTGCTCCCTTGATGAAGAACGCCTAGCCTAGGCTTGAAGAGGGAGTGCATATGCAGGCAGATCAGCAGACTCGAAGAAGCCCTATCTCGTTACTAAAGTTTATTACGATTATATTCTCCGACCTGGCGCTTTCATGGTGTCATGAGATGGTTGCGTCAATAATCTTTAACTTGGTTTGGTGGCATTGTGCGTAGTAGGGTAGGGGTAGGGTAGTGGATATGTTGCACAGCCATGCCGCTTCTTTTTTTATAACCCCGCCTACACGATTTCTTGACAAGCCTCTGTGCAGGAGGTTTGTCGATACACAGCATCCAATGAAAGGTGCATATCCGTCGATGATGGCTTAATGGCTTAACCTTGGCAGCACACGCATTTCTAATGCTGGGCTAAGACGGTTGCGTCTCGTCTCCGAGAACCAACATGCACTGAACTGAACCATGACTGACTCCAAGCAAACGCAGGAACTCGGCGCTACACAGCATGCGGTGGCAGCACTGGATTTCGGGGGAGACAGAGCCTGCATTCGAATTGGTGAGATGAGACATCCGTCGCTCACCGTTGCACTCCTCCCGGACACGGCGTTCGGGCCAAGGGCGGATCAGATCACAATCTCAGACCCAGACCTCAAACGGTTCAAGCCCCGGCGCCACGAGGGATCAAGTTCTCCTTTGAAGCGCAGAGTTTGTCTGTCAGAACTGCCGCTCACTAATTTGCGGATAGAGAGACAGAAGCATCGATATCTCAGACACACGATTCCTGCTTCTAAACATTAACGTTAAACGGGACAGGGTTTTGCTACCTGGCTAAGCCCTACGAATGGTAGATGCCCGTATTGAGGACTTGACTCCGTTGTCTAGCTTATTTTAGTGTGTATGGCACCAAGACACAGCCCTTATCATTCAACACATTGTTCTTGTACATCAACTTGACCCTGACTAAGAAGGGCTTGAACGAGTAAGGGAACGCCATCAAATAAAGAAAGGACCAGTAGACTGTTGACATTGGTCATTAGAATGTTGAGATGAAGCAGTCTTGGTTCGCAGTTAGATTAGAGATGACATGGCGTTTTTGGACATGCAAGCTCATGGAGTATTTTCTTTGATCATTTCCCCCGTGGATACGATTCTCTGACACGACTCCACCTGGAAAATGACGGTTGATCGAATCAAAACTATACGAATTGTATAATTTCTGGCATTGTGTAAACATGTCGTCTACATTCCGGTTCGGTACTGTTGTAATAGGGCGCAACCGTCTTGCGGCGCGTCAACTTGAGCCGACGCCATGTGGAGGTTGACCCATTACCGGCGTTGTGTTTGTTTGTTTGTCACTGACGGTTTTGTTCCGCAAAGCTTCTGGAGTCAATTGATGGCGAGATGGAGATTATGGAGACGGACCACTGCTAGGCTCGGGGGATGAAACACTTTGCCGACGATTTGCAAGTTTGATTAATCAACTGTTGGTTGATCATGACGGACATCTGGGATAGTGTAGAGGAGAGTTGCCAAGCGAAACTTGCAGGGGGAGGAGGAAAGTTGACAGGCATGCCAAGTTGCAGTGAGAGACTCGAAGAGGAAACTCCTGACATCAGTGATCTTCCGCAGTTCAGACACGAGTGACTAGATTGGGAATAGCCAAGACGATGTGAGATTCCTGGGACGCCTTCCCCGGGAGATGCAACGTGCGAGCCAACGACAAGGGCGCAGCGACCATGTCGGGAAACGGGTTGACAGGGGGAGAGAAAAAAGAAGCAGGGGAAAGGAGGGATTATTCAGGGTCATGGCTCAGTGAAGTCAGCGCAGTAAAGATACAGTGAAGATGCAGTAAAGTTACAGGGGGGAAAGCAGAAGGAGAAGCCGGACTGCGCCCCCAGTGCTCGGGGCCGATCGAACTATCTCGTAACCGAAGTACGGGATTGGTTGTTTGAATACTCGGTAGGTGAATTATCTCTGTAATCTACTAAGGTATCGGGCAACCCAACCATGAGAGGAAAGGAACCAAAAGAGAGGCACAGCACAACACAGCACAACGGACAAGATGGATGGATGCAGTCTTTTTATGCACATTGTGCTGTGCTATGCATCAAGTTATTGATAAAAATATCTACCAATAGCCCCACCCACTCTCGCTCAACTCGCTCTCTCAACTACCACGTTTTGAGAGAAGGCTTGTCTCGCGGCTCCAGAGAATTGCAGACGCGGGAAGTGCAGTTCACTAAAGCAGCTAATAAGTTCATGGGGGCTATAGAGAATGGAATGCTGCGCATGTGATGAGATGCCTACCCTACTGGTGATCAACTACTAACAGTACAGGATATGCCCAGTAAAAAGCAACCCGCCCGGCATGGATGCAAGATCGCCCAACTTTGGGACATGTCGCGAATATCCTATAATAAACATGTTATTAATGATTGACAATGCAAGGAGGGATTTGCGCTCATTAGATAATTAATATGCCATCCTGGTATCTTAACTTTCACCGACAGCCTGGTCCATGTCAGATCAACTGCATCGACTATCACCATCACCATCACCGGGAGCACAGTACCATAACTGTATATCATCAAGGGGTTTCATTGAGAAAACCATAATAATAAAGCGGATCGCGGGTGATTAACGATGGTTGCCGTTCATACGCACCCAAGCTCGTCAACTGAGTTTGTACTATCGTACCGTACCGTATCTAGCATCGAGTTTATTTTAGTTTTATCCTTCCCCTCACACATCTCAATCACATCTGCAGCTTGCGGTGCTATATGGAGCTATCAAGGACAATGGATGGATGGCTTTACTACGAATAGCAACTCAGTGACATTGATCTCCATGTCTAAACACAGGCCGTGAGGGGCACCGGTCAACCGCTAAATGAATAGACTATCCACAGAGTTGTGACGTGCGATGGAGAGAGACCCCTGGAGTATCGACTGGACAGTGGAGTGTCAGTTACGTACTGAAGAAATACGTTTCACAAGTATAGCTACCTTGAGCGGAACGCCCTACCTCGACATTGCACCTATTCACCCTTGCAACTCGCCCTGTCAAGATGCTAGATATTGGCCTTGACCATCATCGCTGTACCGGTACATGCAATACTCGTAGTAGATCAATCAAGCTGTTCCTCGCACGCACACACCTCTCTGCTGTGACCTCCGCCTTTTTGATATGAAAGACAAGACAAAAGACAAAGAAAGGCATACCATATCGCGAAGCCTTCATTAGCGAGAGCCGACCCGTTTTCACGATATACAGTGCATACACTACAATACAAAGCAATACTGATACCAATACAATGTGACAAGTAAGTCCCCTTGGTGAAAGAAGGCGGGAGGCGATACGCCTCAATCGTTGTCTCTTGAGGTGTTCTGTCCCCCCTCCATTCTTGATATACACTCCCGTCTTATTGATTGATCGACTGATTAATCCCCCTCCCGAAATCTAATTCAATCATGCCAAGGAACCCCAGACATGGCTGCAGATTGTCTCTGAATACCGAGCCTGGAACTCCAAAACGGTACACCGTTGCTGTTTTTGCTGTAGGCAGGCTGGCGTTGCAAAGCGCTGGGCCACTGACTTGCTTGCTTCTCTCTATGCATCTTGGTTACTTTGACTGTCTGTTCATGCCTACGTACATACATACATATTTGTTTGATTAGACCATCTCCACGGCTGTGCAAGACAAACACACCCTCTTTTTTTTCCTTCTTTCTTTTTTGACCTAAAACTGGGCTTGAGCTTGAGCTCCCATGGCTGGCTGGTCCGCCGGTGATGGTGATGGGGGTGAAATGACGGGTAGACTCGACTCACCCCCACTCCATATCTCATCTTACCCTCCCCTCCCATGCCCTTCCCCTTCCCCTCCACCCCTGGTCCCCTGGCTCGACACTTGCTTGGCTTCAATTGCTGGGCCCTAACTAGGCCCTACAGGCAGGCAAGCCAAAGTAAGGCAAGGCAACCCGGGCACTGCACACAGCGTTTCTGCAGGCTACGTACCGCTGTGCATGGGAGGGTTCTCTCCCCAGCAGCCTCTCATCGAGGTATCCATCCTGTCAATCAACTGGAGAAACCACGGACGGGCCCCGAATGCAGGTGCAGAGTAGTCTCTGCTTAGTGTAGTCGGTGCCTTGACTATATCTACGTTGGCAGCCCCCAACCCTTTCCTCGGGTCTGGTCTAAGAGTTCGTTACTCAACAACGACAACCTTATTCAAGGCCACTTAGTGTTTCTTTTAAGAACATCGTCTCTGCCCATCAAACTATCAAGAGGCGATACGATCAACAAGTGGTTCCTGCATATCTCAACTTGCACCAGTGTTCTTCCTCCCATCTTACACACTTACCCACCGGACCTCCATCTTCATCTTCATCTTCACCCTGAAACAACTCTCACTCAACTTACAATTCGACATCATCATCACTCAAATACCATCCATCTTTAAGACAACTGACGAGTCCCCGGAAAGTCGACCAAAAGAGGATCCTTTACCGTGTCCAATCCCACATCCGCCAGAAACATCTCAGACCCTGCGAAACTTTGATTCACAACAAGCTTCACTCCCTTCTGGAATGCAAAGTGCAGGTAAGATTTCCCCAGCCTACGAATACGCATTCTTTGGCTTCGAAAACTAGAAACATTTCCCGCCTCCGCTTCGTTACGCTTCACTTGAGTTAAAGCCCCCGGCTCTGACACTATTTGGTGCTATAGATAAACGTGGTTGCACTCTGAGCTTTCCAACTACAAGTACAAGCTTCGCCCTGCCGATACACAACTCTCCACATCTTCATTCACATTTACCTCTCACATTTCCCACAAAGACATCATGACAGCCTTGTCAGATACGTCATTCGCCATGTTCCATTCTCAACCTGACGCCGAGGACTATGCTCGATATGCCGACTCCAACGTCATCTTCACTTCAGGCCCCATGGACGTGAGCATCCCAGCCGATGCCTATGGTTTCCAGCACCAGAACGCCAGCCCAGATGCCTATGCTTCTTCAATGGGCTTTGTCGAACCCTCTCTGTACGCCGAGGCACCTAACTACATGCTCAACAGCCACGCATCACCGAGCATGTACACCGATGAGTCTTCGGATATGAGACTACCTTCGTCTAGTCTTTCAACAGCCTCGGCTCCGTCAACAGCTTCTTCAGCAATTGGATCTCCCCAATCTCACCACGGCCAAATGGGTGCAATGCCCGAGTGGACTCCTCAGGGCCTCGGTCTCCAGCCTACGATTGTGGGCAATGATTACATGGGATCTGATTTTGCGTCATTCCCTGGCTCGGGAATGGAGGAGCTCAGCTTCGACTTTCCCACGGCCAAGGCCTTTGTTGGTAAGTTCAAAATTATTTCTTACAGCACGAACGGATACTCGCTTCGAGCTTCGGCGATCCCCTTTCTCCCCCCCCCCCTGGGTCTCGCAATGGTATTGGTAGAGAGGCAGAGACTAGAAACTGAGCCCCAGTCAGAGGGGTCTGAGGCCTCTCTTCCCCCACCACTACCATATGCTAGTGTTTGCGAACCCCTGCCCTGTCATGCAGCAGCTTCAATCTATGATGAAGTCGTTTGCTATTCAACAAGATACCATCGGCTCGGCTCTTGGGTAGTGCTCGTCGATCCTCATTTTGAGCTGTCTCGTCTATTCGTCTATTTTCTTTTTTTCCCATGTCATCCCTTCTTCCCTCCAAGTCATTCTTTAGCTCCCTCCAAAAGCTTTCCCGTCAACTGAGACATGCCATCCGTCTTCCCGATTGGAGCTTGATGTCACTTCTCCGCTGTCAAACGATTGGCGACGTCGTCTTCTTGTCTTCGGCAGTGGCTAGCTGTAAACCCATCTTGGGCTTAGCTCCGCTGCCCTGCCTGTCCGTCTGTGTCGCAATCGCCTATTGTACATACATCTTGACCTTCAACTCCACTGTTTTGTTTCTGCTTCACTCTTTGAGCTGACCGCTAACCAATT